CATAGCGTCTTTGTAAGGCTGTTTTTTCACTTTGTACATTACTTTGAAGGAGACGTTCGTTGAGATGGAATGACCAGTGTTGAAAAGGTGTTCGATTCTCGCACTACTTATACAGTCATTGCCACGATACTCTGCAACCATGCAGGATAATGTTTTTCAACCCTTTTAGACAGGATACGCATCGAAAAATTAGCATACCTGGCTTCACAGGAACAGGCGAATTGATATATGCAGACAGAGAAGTGGTTAGATGAGAGATTTTGTCCTTCAGTCTTCTGCAAACAGCTAATAAAAATTAATCCACCAAAAACAGACTCTTCGTTCAACCACTCATTTTTTCTATCTTTTTTAGTCCATTTCAATCCTATCCTACAATACCTGAATCAAGTTCATTTATCTCTGAGTTCCACGAAACAGATTGAATTCACTTTTTACCCTTCTTCAATGTTGATCACTACAATTTAATTTCTGGTTAATACATTAGTTACTTCGTTTTTTTGTTCACTGTGATCCTCTGCTATTCTACTTATGTTTTTCATTTATAATGTTGCCATTCTTCATTGTTATTATTAAAAATTAAAGTGGTATCATGTAACAAAATTATCCAAAACTAAGGTAAACTCTTCGTGTATTAAGGCAAGATAGAAGGAAGTCAAGATTGCCTCAGTACTATCACCGATGATATTCTTAATTGTGGTCGACTGGATTATGCTCGACACTGTGCACGGAAAGCGTGAGGACAGGAACACTTTGGACAGACAACAAGTCTCTAGAAGATCTGGATTTCGCACATGATTTATGTCTAATGTTACATAATCTGACGACTAACAAGCGAAAACCAACAAACTGGTAGAGGAGACAGGCAGCAAAGACAGGACTTCAAGTGAAAGTAGAAAAGATTATTATCATTGTTCCCTTGGGTTCCTATTGGAACATAGGGCTTCAACTGCACGTCTCCACCTGCTTCTGTCTTCTGCTGTACTTTTCACTTGCATCCATGTTAGTCCAAACTATTTCAACTCCTCTTCACACGATCTCCTCCATGTCACCCTTGGACGTCCCACTCGCCGCTTCCCTTTCAGGTTCCACTCGAGGGCCTGAGGAGCGATATCATCCAGCGGCCTCCTCAGCCAGTGAGTGTCCAATCCATCTCCACTTTCTCCTGCATATTTGTTGGGCGATTGGTTCTTGTTTTGTTTCTTCCCATAGTTTCTTGTTGGTGATTCTTTCCGGCCATCTGATCTTCAGTATGGAACGAAGACAGTTGTTGATGAAGGTATGCAACCTGTTGGAAATATTCTTGGTGACCCGCCAAGTTTCTGATCCGTATACAAGAACTCACTTGACGTTTGTATTGAAAATCCGAATTTTGTTGTTGATGCTGAGTTGAGTGACAAAGATTTCCAGATTGGTTTCAGGTTGATGAATGTGTTTCTCGCCTTCCCGATTCTCGATTTGACATCCTCGTCCGTTCCTCCTGCCTGTAGTTGAGACAATGCTCGCTAGATAAGTGAATGAAGTAACCTCTTTCAAATCCCTCCCGGTGATGGTGATTGGCGCTGGATGTTGCTGCTGCTGTTGTTGGTTGGTTGGTTATTTTCATAACCTCCGTCTTGTCTATGTTCACCTGAAATCCTGTCTTTGCTGCTTCTTCGACCAGTTTATCGGTTTTCACTTGTAAGTCTTCGATTTTGTGTGACATCAAACATAAATCATCCACGCGCGAAATCCAGGTCTTCTAGGTTCTTCACGTCGGTCGAGGACATCCCTGTCTTCTCGTTTCCCACTGTCTGACGCATAATCCAGTCCACCACAATTAGGAATATCATTGGTGAGAGAAGACGGAGATGATGAAGATAATCAATCAACCAACAACAACTACCAATTACCATCAACGGAAGAAATCTGAAACACGTCAATTCCTTCACATATCTAAGAAGCATTGTTTCATATACGGTTGAGGACGTTCAAACCAGAATTGGAAAGGCAGGATAGACATTCATCACTCTGAAATCGATTTGGAAATCTGCTGCACTCAACACAAAGGACAAAATTCAAATTTCCGACATGGATGTTAATTTAGTTCCTTTACACGGGTCATAAACGTGTCATCAAAAGCATTTCTAACAGGCTACTGGTGATTTTTATCAACAACTGCCTTCTCTGGCTCCATACCGAAGATCAGATGGCCGGCACAAAAGAATTCAGAACAAGAAAGTTTGTGAATGAACCAATCAAGAGCCTATCGCTCAACAAGTAATCCGAAGAAAATGGAGTTGGATCAGAGACACTGAGGAGACCGTCGGATGACATCATATGCAGTGTAAGCCATCGCTCCAATGAAACGCTAAGGGGAAACGACGAGTTGGGCGTTAGCCAAGGGTGACATGGAGGAGACAGCTTGGCGAAGAGACGAAAGCTTATGAACAGTTGTGAGGCCTGCTGAATAGGACTGCGGAGAACAGAACAAAATGGAGACGTATTGTTGAAGCCCTGTGTTCCATTTGGAACTCACAGAAATAATAATATTTGTGAACAGAGAAGATAAAGGAAAACTTAATGAATATTCACCATCGACTGTTGTAATTAAGACGTTTAATGTCCTCATAGTAAATTGCTGTGTGTAGCGAAAATTCTGATGTTTGTATACCCACGTGTCTTGGCGTCTAGATACACGGACACACGCGCGCGCATTCAAGCTTGATATGCAAATGAAGAAATGACGGAAAAGGAGAAAAAAGGTGAGGAGAAGAAAGGCAATAATACAAAGGCAGACAATAAAAAGCACAATTCCCCAAAAGGGATATTTAATTCCCAAATTAGATGAACACAAAGATTGAAAATTTTGGTGGAATTAGGGAAATATATCCCCCTGCCAATAATGAAATATGAAGAAGATAATTATATCCCAATTTCCTTGTCTTTCTTTTTCAATTATAGAACTGTGTTAACCTTGTGGGATTATATTAAATTATAATTACACGTCTTTGTATAATTTGAGAGTATTTCAATATCATAAGACAAGTTTCTATTTTTATGCTAAAAATAACATTTAAATAAAGCAAGAACAACAGTGGTTTGTGCAGAATAATATGGTACCATTATTTATTTCGTCAACTTATCATCTGCTTATACCCTAAATAAATTGTGAGCCTTACGTACAGAAAAGTTTTAACATACTTGCAAATTTTACATGTTGTCAGTTGACAGACAGTTCCACAATTAGTGAAAAGTGTTCAGAAAATTGTGCTTATATAGTTTTTACACAGGCAGTTCAAGTCAAAATAAATGTATGCATACAATGGTAAAGGAGTTACGTTATAAAGACGAGAGGTGAGTAAGATGATGAGTAACCAATAAATTTGGTAACGATGTACTGAGTTCAAATCACGTCATAGAAACAAGAGACAAGCAATATTACAGATTTTAAAAAAAGAGGGATGAGGTTAAAAACAAAGATTACGTAATCAGATTAGAGAAAAAAGACATCCAGTTACCATGGCAAGGAAAGACTAATAACTGCTTCTTTCTGAACACATAAATCTGGTTTGAAGCGTTTGATAGAAATTGCTTCGGCAAACTTGAGGAGAATGGAGCTCCTTTGTCTATTGATAATTTTAAAGGATTTCTCGATTTCCACCTCATGACCCGTGTCGAGGAGATGCCTGGCGATGGCACTGTTTAAAGAATTTGTTCCCTTTAGAAGTAAGCTTTTTGGTACACGTTCAGAAAATCGTATATATGCCCTTCTTTCTGTCCTTCCAATGTAACTGCTCCCGCAGATACATGTATATTTGTATACACAGTTGGAGTTCACATGAGAAGGATATCTATCGATTTTTGATTGCACCAAAGAGCAAGTTGTTCGATAAACATTTAATAAGCGCGCTGTCTTTTTTATTTGGATTATGGCTTAAACTAACTGTTGTGGATTTCATTGACTGGTGAAGTCATGTTTTGGTTTGACCACCATTAGCTCTTTTCCAACCTGATCCATACTATGTTAGGAAGCTGATGACTAGGTATAATTAAAACATGTTCTAACCATCTCAAATGATGCAGCTGCTTCACAACCTCGTCGATTGATTTTCCCCCTTTACCTAGAACTCGACCAATGCATAACCTCAATATTTCTTAACCTACAATACCTACCAGCTAAAAGGGGATATATAATACAGACACCTATGATCAAAGATAGCTGCTCAACCTTTTCATGTTTTCCGCATTCAACAGACATGTCTCACAGCCATAAAGGAGGACGGCGCGAACTGCTGAGCAGTATACACGTCTTTTGGTAGACTACTAGTCGAACATCACGTCTACTAATCCATAGATGGCGTAGGCTGTTGGCAAATGCCAAAGGAGCCTTCTATATCCATGCTGATATTTCGTCAGCGATGAACCCGCTGGCGTTGGCTGATGCAACTTCCCAAATAAGTGAAGTAAGTGGTCAACAGGCTCCACCACTTTACTCCCTCTCTATCCTTAAGCCAGTTCGGAGTCGATGCAGTCCAGTCCTGTAGCATCATCTGACAGCAGCGAGTCACATGCCAAACATTAGAATATTGCTGCTCCTCAAGATGTTGAGAAGACTCTGCTCTACTTTGTCAGCGTTTTCACCTAGGAGGCAGGACTATATCATCTGCATAATATAAGTCAACGAGACTATTATTCCCTGATGGTAACAAGTCAATACCTAAGTCGTTGAAGTCAGTTACGGTTAAATCCATTACTACATCCATGATGAAATTAAACAAAAGTGGGGAGAGTGTTGGGCATCACTGACTGACACCACTGGGTGTCACCACTTCAGACGAGTCCTCAAAGTCACTACACCATAACCTCGACACGGTTTAATTTATGTATGGGCAAACAACCGTTAATATTTATCCCATAGACATAAATCTTTGCCACAATCCCACATGAATACGTAACAGTGAACAAAAGACAGTTGACTTCAACACCTCTTAACCATTTTTCTTTCACACACTCGCTCTCTCGCATGTATTCACAAATATTAAAAAGGAAAGAAAGGGAGACAATAATATGAAGAAGTAAAAAAAGCATATATACACATAGGATAGTTATTGATAACAGACCACTTAAACAATTAAAAAATCAAACATCCTTCTTTTCTCCTTCCTCTTCAACAAAACAGATGAAGAGTAGAAAAGTGGAGGTAAAACTATACAAAAGGAATAAAACGACAATAACTACTATTACCACTAATAAACATATAAGTAGTGAGGAAAACTATCGGTGAATAAATAAACGCTACAGCCAACGTCTCAAACTAAGATGGCGCCTTTCTCAACCATCTTATAAATGAGAAATTTATCATAAGCATTCACATCCACTAATTCATTCATTCATTATCATCACGTTGCAGCTGATTCACGTCTTCTTCCTGTATCCACATCAAAACAACCAGCGTTGTTGGTCTGGTTGTCGTCCACTACACTGATTTGACTATCTTGTTCACGAATTTTAGGGAATGGTTGTTCCAGGACATGTTTTTCCTAGAAATAAAGGGAAGGAGAGAAACCAATCACGTTAAATTGGGATTACTGTAGGAGGTCGTAAATTTAATATTAAATTTAGACCTACTGCAATTACCTCTCTCATTTTTGAAATGAATGAAGAAATTACTTTTACTCAACCTTGAACCCTGTTAGGAAAGTTTTGATGATCCCAAACAATTAGCTTTTAAACAGGGCAGAAGTACTTTAGATGCCGCTGCTGTCTTATATCACAATATTGTTTCTTCCTTAAACAAAGGAGCCAAATATGCCCGATGCACCTTCCTTGACTACCACCCATCAGCTTTTCACTCTGTACCCAGATGCCTCTTGACATTAAATAGGCTTTCCATGACACAAACCGAGTCCTGAGCTGTTGACTGGTTGCATTCTTATTTCTCAATCAGAATACAGTAAGGATTTCATCATAAGCTGACATCAGCTAGAGAACTAATGGAAAACCTGGGAGTACTGCACAGCCAGTTCCACTGGGAAGCCGTGACCAGTAGGGTACAGCAGGCTGAAGGTGAGGCAGTAACTCAACTAAGAAGATATCGCGAAGTGGTCACACTATGTCATCAATTGGCAGAAGTTAGAATTCACGGTATGGCCATTGGATCGGGTCCCAGTGGCTTAGTGGTCTACGAGCTCGCTAGCCTTGTAACCAGAAGTTCCTGGGTTCGAACAGTGGCGGTGGGTGAGCACTGTGAAGAGTCCTAAACTAGGCCAACCAAACAGCTGTCCAGTACTCCAAGCTGGTTTTCCAATGGTTGTCTAACTGATGTCAGCTCATGATGAAATCCTCCAACCAATCAAATAAAATCCCTACAAAAACCAATACTTGAAAATACCCTTTAATTCTCTCTCTTGTGTATCCGTCTGTGTGCTATATGGAGTGTAGTATATCTGAACTGTTGTACTTCTGCGTGCTAAATTCTGTCAGTCGGTATCCAGCTAAACACGGGAGACCAAACACAAAGATGGCTGGCCTCTTTATATATTTCATTTCAAACGGTCATGCCTCAAATCAACAAGATGTTTTATAGAATGAGAAGAACACAGGACATGGTAGCTTACCAAATCGTATGGCCAATGATTGAACCAATCATCACTCGAATCAATCATCTTATTGGAATGACTGGAAAGAATTTCATGAATTGTTGATGGTGCATTAGTTGACAGAGCACACTGAAGACCAGACCATAATTCAGATGCATAAATCGGTGAAACTGGAGCCAACATAACCAATAGATCAGCCAATGCACGAAGATAAAGAAAACTTGACGGCCCTGGCCCACCAGCATGAACAGAAGATCTCTATATTCAAATATGAGGGGAGTAAGGGGGGGGGAGAAATATATCAAGTGGAAAGTGAAGTAATCTACTTGAGTGGATTACAAAAGACAATTTTTAATAAACTCTCAACATCAATCCAACTATTTAATTCAATTTTCTTAGATTTTCCCTTTGACTGATTGAACCGAAGTGCTCGGTCTCAGGTGGACATGTCGGCTTCTTGTGCAGATGATTCCACGATATCTGGGCATTTAATTAGAAGTTAATTCGTAGATGGTGACTAGCAGTAGAATCCAGGATGCTCATTTCGTCCTATTTGGGATTTGTAATATGGTTTTCACTGGTTGCATTTTTATTTCTCAGGAAGAAAGCAGTACATTTTATGTTAGGGAAAGTCGTCCACTTCATTGCTTACTGAGGCTGGTGTCCCTCAAGGAGTTGTTCTTTCTCTTTTTCTGTTATCTTTCTTCTTGCATAACTTACTTGCGTCACTCTGATGAAATGAACTTTGTTAAGTATGCTGATGACCTGACTGTTTCAATTCATGTTAACTCCCAGCTAGATTGTAGTAAGATGAACAGCTTTCTATCAGGAGTTACCAAATGGTTTTCATCAAATGGTCTTAAACTAAGTCCGCACCGTCAGCTTTTACCTTGCATCTCCTCCTCAGGTAGAGAAAGAAGTCCCACAGTGTTATGCAGTAATATTTACTGTGTATTTACAAGCTGCTCGTTGTACAATGTGTTAGCTCTGAACTTGTTACCTAAATTGATGAATGATGCGAGAGGTATTCAAATACTCATATGGAACCAGTTACTAGTATATGCTGTGATGCATTTATATCTGTTTTCTTGATTGCCCTTTATGATCTCATCGAGATCACGTATGATCCTCTGAAACGTTTTGGCTTCAGCAGTAAAACGAAGGTAGAATTTAACCTCCTCGAACTGTGTAAATTGTAAATCGCGTACTGATTTGCACATCGCGAATTTCATCTCGTGAATTACCAGTTCGCCCTAGTAACTAGCTAGCTAGAATTCGTGTGCTGTTAACTGATTCGATTCTCTTAGTTGAGTTAAACCTGGTAAACCGATGTCGAATGAGTGAAACGGTCATCCGAACTTGAAATCCCTTCTATCCGTCTACAAAGCACTGATGATTGGTATGAGTCGTATCTAACTACTTATATGAATCAATCAGTAATACATATGGTTATACAAAAAAAGCTTGGCTTGCTATTCCACGTTTTATCATTTCACCCAAGTAAAAATTGAAAAGAAATTCAAGGAGGATATAAAGAAACAAACATCTTACCCTAATTAAATCGGTTAATTCATGAAGTCGAGCAATAACTGCACTAATTACAAACGTTTCATCGTAATATCCATTCACCTATAACGAGAGAGGAGAGTAAAATTACTTTAAAAAACGGTTAAGCACATATAGATGTAGCTCAAAGTGAAATATGATGTCCTTCAAATACCCAACCAAGCATTAAGATGTATTAACACCAGTAGATCATCTTCAAAAGATTATCGAATCTTATCCATTGGGTTTATGATTATGAGGATGTCGTCAGACCCCAATATAACTTTCCTCATTTATCCAACCACCGAAAGCAACAAATTGCTGATGTTAACCTGCCAGACAATAAATGTCGATTTCCGTCAAAAATATAAGCAAAAATTATAATCAAACCGCCACATTAGTTATAAATGTTTAAAAAAAAGCTTTTCAGTCAAAATTCATTGACCATGAATGTTTGAACTCCAACTCACAAACTAGCGCCTTCCTCGACGGACAATCTCCGCTGACATGGAATCGATCAGGTTGGAACAGAGTTAGAGGAGGTGGTGGTGGTCAAACCAAAACATGGCTTCATCATTCATCCACTTTTTTATGATTCCTTCACGTTCGCAATGGAACATAAGGCTTCAAGATAGAGGCTTGAAGTTTCAATACCAGTGCCGTTTAATTTTTAGGGGATGGGGTTGCTGCCTCATACCCAACCTTCCCTCTTTACCAGACATATTACTGGCTTAGCGACGTAAAGGAGTGCGTCGGTGGCCGGGAATCGAACGCCGAACCACCTGCGTGGTTTTCGAGCATTCTACCGTTGCACCAGCTACGCGATTACATCTATTAAAGTTAGTTTAAGCCAGCCAGGCAACCACGTAAGGAGATGTAGACTGACTAACTAGATGGAGTCGTCGGGATGGTAAGAACCAATGACGACTGGAGACAATAGATGGTGATACGGCTCAAAATCGTTCCCAAAGAAGCGCAGATCCATTCACTATCTGTGATTTGCCATATCAAATAAAACTCCATTCTTCTTCAATATTACTACTGTTCTTTTTCCCCCACTCACATTTCTGTTTATTATCTCTCAACCTTTTGAATCGCTCTTTACTCTCTTCTCTTGCTTTATGTGCTAAATGGAGGGGGCGTGGCAACTAGAAGTGCTGCCCTTCTGTGCAAAGTTCTATATTGAAACTCATTGACTTGGTCAAATATACCAAAAACAAAACACATAAAGATTTTTATTGATTGGATAGAAGTGTTCAGCCACAGGTCAACATGTCAACTCCTTGTGCAGATGCATTAAATGATGTCTGAGGATTTAACTTTAAGCAATTTTCATGGATGATGACTGGTAGTGGAATATAGAATATATTCGGGAGCCGTCATCCGGATTTATTTGCATTCCTCAGTGAGTGAGTGGGTGATTGTTTTCTTACTGAGGCTCGAACTCAATACCCAACGTTTCAAGCTCCAAGATGTTATCCACTAGATTCCACCATCCACCAAGTTACCTCAAGTTTAATCCTCAAAAATCGTCAAAGCATCAGCGCAAGGAGCTTACATATAAATAATAACTGATACCCATTGCACAAGAAGTGGCTGTCGCGGCCCGAGTGGTCCAGTTATTAACACTTAAGCGTTTGAAGTACTGGGTACAGGGTTCGAGCCTCAGTGGGAACACCATCATTTACTCACTCAGGAATGCACGTACATCCACTAGCTGTCAAGTCCCGAAAAGGACGAAATCCGCATCCTTAATTCCATCCTGCTAGTCAATAACCATCAAAATAACTTCAGAAACATGTTTATGGTGAAAGTCAAACAACAGTCGCAGAGTAAATTCCAGAAGACTGTTTCGCAAAGTTATCTGAGATATTTACTCTAGAGAACTTGCAGGAAACTAAATGTGTAATCAGTGAATATAAGTGTATAAAAACTGAGTGAAGTACAAACGTAATCTAATAAAGTGCTTGGTGGTACACAGAGCAGGAGAAATTTGCTCTGATGAATGTCTTAATGAAGAACTTAATATCATTAAACAGTTCCTGAGTGAGAACGGTTACCCAGAAAAATTCATTGATAAGAATATGAATCTAAAATAGAGGCAGACCAAGGTACCAACATTTCTGAAAAAGGCCTTATTCTTACCACTTGAGTTCCTGAGGGACAATATGAGAGTAAGATATTAACACAACGCCGTAGGGATGCGGTAAACAAAAACATTCAGTGCTGCTGAATCATGCTGTGTCTTCAAAACCACTCCTATTTTGAGTTCTGGAGTAAAAGATAAACTGACTAATTTCGTCTCTTCTATGTGTGTTTCCCGATTTGAATGCTCCGGTGGAGCCAGGTACATAGGCCGTGCAATTAGGCGTGTTTCTCGTCAAATTTCAGAACATCACCCTGCGTGGTTAAGCAAAGGACAAACAAAATCTATTCATAGCGCTATTCGATCTCATCTTTTGGATGCAGAACACAAGATTGATGTTAACGACGCAGCTTTCAAAGTCATTTACCGCATACCAACAAATCTTAACTTAACCTTAAGAGTTCATTTACTAAATATTGCTGAGGCCGTCGGGATCCACATCAAGAAGCCTAATTTGTGTGTCCAAAAGAAGCTAGTTCAGACATTGTCCTTATCTTTGCTACCTAGGTTCTAATGATCCTCAAATTTTTTGTGGAAATTTCCTTAATCTTAGTTGACATTCCATTTGCTATTATATTTTTATTATTATTATAATTTAAGCATCTTTGATGAACTGTAATTCCATTGTGATCTTACTTAACAAATCAACAGTATTTAAAAACACCAAAATTGTTATTGACTACTATTCGAGAATATTCTGTGTATATAAACATATATATATATATATGGAAGCCTTTGAAGAATGCCCAGATGGAAGTCTACGCAATTACGTGAAGAATATATTCGTTAAAGTGGCACTGACTACTCATGCCTATTTGTCAGTAATATGTATTTTTATATACTTTCTATCGACAACCCCAATTTAACGAGTAAAACATTCGTTCTTTAGATATTGTTTGTTTTCGTAGAATACAAACTCATCGATTTGGTTGAACACAAAACAGTTTCAGAGTATAAAGTATAATTTGGGCATAAACTGTGACTCTTTCACTATCCCTTTACGTTCAGAGTGGGACATAGGGCTTCAAAGTTTCGTCACCGATTGCGTTTCTTCTTTTAAGAAGAAGTTGCCAACCTCAACATTCCCTTTTTACCAAACTTACCACCGGATAGGTGAATTTTACGAATGTCTTCCCCAGGAATCGAATCAAGACCATCTACGTGATTCAACCATTGGACAACTGACGCTTTACCTTAAACATCCATAATATTTTGTATTTTTAACACTAGAAAAATTTCTTAAATCGTGAATGTTGCTTATCAATAGCTGAGACTATCTCAATGCCTAATTTATTAGTTAACATGTAAACCTCGTCACTAGCCAACATCAGTTAGAGAATCAGTATTACCCAGGGAGAGTACTGGGACCCGTAAAACCACCACCAGTAATCACATACAGAACCTTTAATTCGTCAGAGGATTTCATCGTGACCCGACATCGGTGAGAGAACCATTCGAAAACCAGCTGGGAGTACTGGACATATGTTTCGTCAGCCTAGTTTTGGACACTTCAGAAGTACGCACCCACCGCCGGGGTTCGAATCCAGGACCTTCTGGTTACAAGATGAGCTCGTAGACCATCAAGCCAATTGGACCCTATCGCCCCAAACCAGGACGAAACAGCTGTCCAGTACTCCCAGCTGGCTTTCGAATGATTCTCTTTCTGATGTCAGCTCATGATGAAATCCTGCAACCAATCAAAAAAATCCCTACAAAACCAATACTTGAAAACAGAACCCTCGACACTATGAGACCAGCTCGTTGACCGTTCATCAGCCACTGGGTTAAAATTCGAAGACCTTTGATGACCACTGATACAATTCAATGACTACACACATCTAGATGACAATAGAGCATGAACTTATCCAAATAATAGAGAAGGAACTGATGTCCCCTCGGCGAATGACACACACACACACAAACACCACATGAACAGGAAATTACCCGTGTTATAACAGATTCATAAAATTTAAGAAAATTTGAAGATTGCGTCAACAATGGGTCATCCAGACCACACTTTAATTCCCATGATGTATTAGAATTTTGTGCATGGACAGAATATTCTATTAACTGTTCAATAATTCGATTCATTTTAGTTAACCAATTAATGACACCTTGAATTACTGTGGAAGGCAAAGAAAGCGAGAAAAAAAATATTAGAGATAGACGTTATAGGCAGAATAAAAATAAAAGGCGAAAAACGAATATTCAACAAGGTGAAACTGTAATCCTTTACCCGTTGTTGTTTTTTATGCCTCCGCAATCTTTGATAGACTGACCACTACTCAGTAAGTAATTTTAGTGATTCTATGTGGTTTCCGAACTTTGCGCACGCTTCATCGAAGACATTTCTAGAAGGCTGTTGTAGACTTTCATGAGCACCCACCTTCTCTTCCTAAGCAATTAACACCAAATAGCCGGTTAGAAAGCATAAGCAACAAGAAACACTGGCAGAAAAACAGGCAATACCCTATTTCCTAATAAATATGCGGGAGGAAATGGTGATACACTGAGAAGATACATTGAGTGATAGCCCACATCAGGCTCTCGAGTGGAACTGGAATGGTAGGAGAGAGGGGGCTTGAGAATAATATGTTGTATGTGTTAGTAGAGCCAGCTGCAACTGATGGAAGAAAAACGAGTGGAATGGTGATGTTATTAGGTGATTGGACGTAGTCAGCAGGAAGCCTTCAACCTAGTTTTCGTGTTTGTTGGCACTGACTAGTCGGTAAGGCGTATCTGAAATCTTGAAGGAACAACTCATATCCCTTCTGCGATTCCAACCCATGTCACCGCCCGGTGCTGCAGTCAGAGACATTACCGCTGAGCTATTGAGAATCACGATTGACCTCCTGTTGGACTGCAATGGGTATTTTGCTTGCACACTAGTCAGTTACTAGAGAAGGTGTATCGCTGAAGCCCCATGCTTCACTCGACGTCCCAAGAAATAATAATATATGTCATAGCCAACCCACAACACGGTAACCAACCTTCACTTTCCCATTGATTTTTTTTTCATTATCAAAGAGCTACGAACTACAGTAAAACATAATTAATCAAGACAACCGGTATAATATAGTCTGCATAACTACAATCCAGGTATCCGAAGGGAAAAGTAAAGTTAGAATTACTCAAATAAAGAAGACAAACATAATTCTGACAAGCTGGTGAACACTTTAATGCTGTACTGTTTTGGCACTAGAGAAGGCTTATCAAAATCCTATCAATCCAAGCGTAGAAAGGCAGTATGAAACCAAAGGAAATATGTAATAACAAGGTCAAGGTCAGTATGAAAGTGATACCTCAATAAATCTATAAATCAAAATCATGACTTATTCTAACACGTCTTAGACAACTTTTTCCTCGAAAACCTATCCCATTTTAGGTAACGGTATAAACCAAAGGAAGAGTTCTACCTTAAATAACGCATATTCAACAAGCTTTATTCTAATTCCATTATGGGTAAAATTTATTTTGATAAAGTCTCGCAGTGTTTGTTATACAGTAATATTTACTGATGAACACATTTCAAGCACAATTTATTACTGCTCATAATCATGTCAAGCCACTACTCACACAACTTTCTAACTTCGTTCATATAATTCCATCATTATTTTCCATTGCTTGACTTGACTGGGGGCAGTATTCTCCATATTTACGGTATGAATGATGAGTCATTCCTTTTGCACATGTTGGGTGCAGACTCAATGAACAAGGATTCAGTAATCAACCATCTCTCTCTCCCCACCTATGTATATTGCTTCTTAGGATTTTAACCCTCTCCCACCCACCCTATTGTGTGGTTGTGTGTTAATCCATGCAGTGCAATCGCTGAGCTTTTTTCTAAATTACGTATTTTCTCGGGGTCAACCATTCTAACCTCAACTAAGTTCTTATGTTCTGACAATTTGACTACCCCCGACCTACTAGTCTGACCTATGTAGTTGACCTCACAGTCATTGCAGGGTATTTTGTAAATTATATTATTTTGTTTAATTGGGTCCACCGGGTCTTTTAGCCTACAGAGCTTGTCTCTCAGTGAGTTTGTAGGTTTAAATGCCACCCTAATTCCTGCTTTATTTAGAATCCTACGTAGGGTCTCAGATGTCCCCTCCTTATATTGTATAAGAGTAGATGCCTTATATTCTTTCTTATTCATGTTATCATTATTAGTTTCCCAATTATTTTTATTTTGCTTTCGGCATTTTCTGATCTTCCTGATGAATTTTATAGGATAGTTAGTTATTTGACACCAACCAGCTATTATTCTATCTGTTTTATTTCATCATTTAGGTCTTTTCTTCTGCTACTTAGTGCTACTGCTCGGTTTGTTCTTCGAATCTGCACCCAACACATGCAATAGGAATGACTCATCACTCATACCGGGAATATGGAAAATACTACTACTAATCAAGTCAAGCGATCAGAAATAATGGAATTATATAAACGAAGTTAGAAAGTTGTGTGACTAGTGCCTTGATATGATTTTGAGCAGTAATAAATTGTGTTCGAAACGTGTTCATCAGTAAATATTACTGTATAACAAACACTATGAGACTTTATCAAAATAAATTTTACCCATAATAGAATTATACTCTACCACAGTGCACAAGTTTTATTCTTATATCAAGCTTTACTCTATACCAACTTGTGTATGTACTTGCTCTTAAGCTCGACAAAACTGGAACTTCTGCAGTCACACAACATGAATTCCATAATGCATTTAGTGAAGTGGTAGAGCGTGTTGACCACTTCACTTATTTGGGAAGTTGCATCAACCAGTGCCAGCGGGTTGATCACTGACGAAATCTCAGCATGGATACAGAGGGCTAGTTTCGTATATGCCAAATTACGCAGTCTCTGGCTTAGTACACATGATATTCGACAATCGATCAAAGGGCGTGTGTACTACTCGGCAGTCCGCTCCATCCTCCTTTATGACTGTGAGACCTGGCCATTGAGAGCGGAAGATATGAAAAGGTTAGCTGTCTTTGATCATAGGTGTCTGTGTTCTATCTCCCGTGTGAAATGGTATAGTAGGGTGAGCAATATTGAGGTTAGTCGTCGAGTGCTTGGTAAGGAGGGAAATCAATAGACGAGGCTGTGAAGTTACATTGACTGAGATGGTTAGGACATGTTACGCATGCCTAGTCATCGCCTTTTTCGACAGGCAATTTTAGCTGACATAGGATGGGTCAGGTTGGAAAAGAGCTAGCAGTGGTCAAACCAAAACATGGCACCAGTCAGTGAAATCCACAACAGTTAGTTTAAGCCAGTCACGTAGGAAGGTGTAGACTTCCTGGTTGGGGTCCTCCGGACGGTAAAAATCAATGACTAAAGACAATTGTTGATATGGCTCAAAATCGTTCTCAATGGCTGGCGCAGATGCCTCCACTCCTTGTGACTTATAATACCCAATAAAGCCATACTGTCCTTCGATAGTACTATTCTTTTTATCTCATATCTCTGTTAACTGTCCCTGTTTTGCATTTGTTTTACTTTCTTCTCTTGCTTTATGTGCTCAGTGAAGTGTGGCGACTTGAACTGCTGCACATCGTGGTGCAAAGTTCTATGATGAAACCAGACAGACAGACAAACATAACACATTTGCCAGACACAATAATAATAATAATAATAAATGTGCAGGTGCGTTAACTTACCATCTCCTTCAGTCCATTTTCTTGCCCTGTGCGGTCCAACATTAGACAGCATAGTAATACGTACTAGATCCATACCATATTTCCTGACAATCTCTGTTGGATCAATTCCATTCAACTTGGATTTACTCATTTTATCCCAATACATTTCAAGTGGGGTATTTGTTGCTTTTTCATAATATTGAACTAGAAATGAAATTATTTTAAGAAGAGTAACATGAAAAGATATATATATATATATATAACAGTGCGGTTAGACAGGGTTGCCCAATCTCTCTATTTCTCCTCAATATTGCCATCGATGATATTCTGGAATCAAGTTTGAAGGATGTGCGTGGTGATGTATATCTGTTTCCTGGAGAAAGACTTTTCGACCTCGAGTATACAAATGACATCGTCTTAGTATGCGATAGTATTCAGATTGACCATATCGCACTTAATTAGTTGGAGATCAGGGTCTGTAAACATAGTGTGTGCTTTGTGCCGTCTTAGTACAAGGTACTGTTACAAGATTGGCTAGAGCCTGTACCAGCTCTCACACTTCCAAGTGAACCACTTGAAGTTTTCGATAAGTTCATGTATCTGGGTAGTTGTGTGAGTGCTAGAGGAAGTGTGATGGACAAGATTTCCAACCGTATTGTAAAAGCTAGGGGGGCAAGAGTCAACTTGAGCCGTAACGATGTTATCCTGATTATCACAAGTCGGGTTTACAATGATTCGATGAGCGCAGTCATTCTCTACGCCTGAAATGAGTATGTGCAGCAACTCTGCTTACTCAATCATCTCTGTCTCCGTAGGATTGCTTGAGTTCGATGGCATCATCGCGTGGATAATTCTGACATTCGGCCGCGTGTGTTTGAACACAGTAGAGATCACCATTCATTGAGTGTCGTCATCTGGAAACACCGGCTTCAGTGGCTTGGATATGTGCTACGAATGTCACCCAAGAGGCTTCCGTATTGGTGTCTATTCTCTAGCCCTGGGACGGGATGGAAAGTGGGGAAAGGTGGCCAGCTTATGACGTGACGTCGTAGCATGAAGGACATTTGGGGTAGGTTAGCATCGTCTGTTACATCACGACTCCCTGGTTGGGGTCCGACAAGTAGTTCGAATCAGTGGCTCGAAACGTTATCGGATACGGCCAAGAATCGCAACCATTATTGGCGAACATGCTGCAATTTCCTTCTTTCTTCCTTTTCTGACAATAATTCGACGAATACTGTTTAGCTTTGTTAAATATAGCTGCTTCTTTTCCGGATGAAGTCCGTTATTCATTTTCTACCTATTTTTCTTTCATGTTATTGTTTTATTATTATTGTGTGGTGCATCTTCTTATTGCCTACATCAGACAAGTAATAACTGATACTCATTCCACATGTGGTCGCTCCTGTGGTCCTATAAACATAGTGTATAAAGCTTTGACATTTCAGTCACATTAGCAACACCACCAGTCACTGGGGATTGCAGACACATCCAGAGAAGAGTCCTAAATAGGACGAAATATGCATCCTGGATTCCACCATTAGTCACAATCCATCAACTAAATAATATGTTACTGAACAATCCTAAGCATTTCAGTGCTAATGACAAGGAGTGGTACCAGTTGTGAAAGTTAATCAAACTATTTGATTGCCCAAACCATGGTAGATGCAGTACGACTCGAACCAGTAAGCCAGCAGTTGTAAGTTAGGCAATTATTAAACCAGTGAGCTACAACTCCACTTCAATGTTATGAAATTATGTTGTAAAGTTACAGTCGATCACATAGAAATATTCAATACAATATCCTCTAGCAAAGGCTGTGGAAAAATCAATTAGAAAACAAACGGTCAGCGCAGAAAGTCTGGAGGAAGGATATCCTTGAAAAAAGCGTAGGTAGAACAACTCGCTCAAGCACCTTCGTGTGTTTAAGATGCGGTTCGCTTCGGCTGTCAAACGTAAGACGAGGCTGCAAGACTGTATCGCACCACTTACTCCTAGTTTGAAGATTAGGAGTGAAGTGGTTGAGCATGTGTTGACCACTTCACTTATTTGGGAAATCACATCAACCCTAATTGACTGATTCTTGACCATATCTCAGGACGTATAAGAAGAGCTCGTATGACATTCGTAAACATAAGTCATCTCTGGCGTAGATACGATATTCTGCTATCTATTAAGGGACACGTATACCGCGCTGTAGTCCACTCTGTCCTTCTTTACGATTATGAAAAACGGTCATTGAAAGTGGAAGACTTGAAGAGACTAGTTGTCTTTAACCATTGGCATAATGTACTAAGATTAGGTGAGGAGGAAACGCCAATTGATGAGGTTGTGAAGCTGCACCAATTGAAATAACCAAGATGTGGTAGGAGCTGGTTGCTAGCCGAATTGGTAGATAGTTATTTACGTCAATGTTTACATCCCAAATATTGGTCATGAGAAAAATAAGAACAAAGACTGACTCAACAACCAATCACAGCACACTTTGCGTAGGCGGATATAATTTGCAGATAGATGATTTGACATTCAAGAAACAGCCACAAAGAGATGAAATATTAACGTTCAGAGAGAAACCACCAATCAGAAGACTGTGTTTGCTTGCTTACAATAATCTACAATAATGTACATGAAAATCTATAAATATGTGTTGATTTCCAAAATAAATGATCTGTTGCCTGGCCCTCGTCTTCTGTTGTTACAAAGACATATATTCCACATATCAAGGCATCATTTATCTCAACGAAAAATAATCAATGACACAAGATTAGGTTGGAAAAGTTGTCGAAGTGGTCGATTCGAAATGTGAAAAGAGTCTATCAAGCATTGGTTTGTAGGGATTTTTGTTTGATTAGTTGGAGGATTTCATCATGAGCTGACATCGGTTAAAGAACCATTGCAGAACCAACTGGTAGTGCTGGACAGCTGTTTCGTCAGCCTAGTTTGGGACTCTTCAACAATACGTACCCACCGGGGTTCGAACCCAGCATCGTCTGGTTACAAGGCGAGCTCGTATACCCGATCGGTGTGTACTGCTGAAGAGTCCCAAACTAGGCTGACGAAGCAGCTGTCCAGTACTCCCAGTTAGTTTTCCAATCTTTCTCTAACCAATGTCAGCTCATGATGAAATCGTTCAACCAGCCACGTAGACTGCCTCTATGATGTTCTTGGGAGGCTAAGAACCCATGACTTGAAACTGTTGCTGATATTGCTCAAAACCGTTCTCTTCCTCCTGTACATTTTTGAATCTCCTATTCCGCTACTCTTGTGTGTTATACGAAGTGTGGAGAGTTGAACAGCTGTCCCACGTTGAGAGTGAGCCAGTCATTTAATCACTACTGAGTATAAACATTTATCCATGTGACAAGTAAAAGAGAACACATCCCTTTATATCAAAAAAAATTTACCCTTTTTATCAGACACTGATATTTTCTCCACATATACAGGTGGAATAAAACGACCAGTTTGTGGTTCAATGTATGTTTGACCCAAAACTAAACCAACTGGAAGAAAACGTCTGAATGGTTCCCGACATGGTAGAATATTCATATCATACAGAAAATGTGCAATGAAACGAGCATAATAAAGATGTCGAATAGCTATTTGAAAGCAGTAAAAAAAACAAAGAGAAAGGGAGAAAGAAACATGTAAGTAGTGAGACAAGAAACACTTTAGTTTTTGACAAAGCAACAAACTGAAACACTGTGGGACGACAACAAATATTATTTAGGATAAGAAATTTAGAGCTATATATATATATATACGCATAACTGAGAGTTCCGAGTGGAGATACAGTAGCAATGTCGCTTTTTTGACGGGGGTTGGGTCGCAAGCCTGAAGTCCAAACCTTCTTCTTTTCTGGGATTATTAACGGTTTGACGACGTTTACGGAGTGCGTCAGCAGGTAATTGAGCCTTAGTCACAGGCGTGGCTGGCGAGTATTCCAACCCAAACCACCGAATCTGTATACATATACTACTTATTGGTTGGTGTGAGTAGATAATAATAACAATAATAATAGTATAGATGGGAACCATCCACACGTTAAACAGTTGTGCTTACTAGCCAGACAGATAAAAGTGATCTCAAAAACGGACGGCCGTTTCGATCGTTATGTGTCGCAATAATCATCAGCGTACACGGCCCAACTCAGATCACGCAGCTCAATCACTCCTCAAAACAGCCCCTAGATTCTGGCTAGTTGTTCGAGTGAACTGTTATTACATTGAAACGAATTGAAAAGTTTCAAACTGCGTAGTGATCCAGTGATTGAATGGTCAACAGGCTTGGCTATGTAAACTGAAAGTCCTAGGATCGACCCAAGGTGGGGTCATGGGGTGCACATTGTTAAAATGTACCAAACTAGGGTGAAACAGCTGTCCAATGTTCCCCACCTAGTGTGTAGCGGTAGTTCAGTGGTAAAATGTTCACCAACCACGAACACAGTCTGCGTTCAACTGCCGGCTGACGCGCTCCTAAGTCTTATCCTAGTTTACTAACGGATAGGAAGCCTGGAAAAGGGGCAAGGTTGGCAGTAAGGCTAGTAACCCGAAGCCTGAAAAACAACACCCACACGACTTCCAGTTAGAACGCAGAGGAATGAGAAGAACAGAAAAAAACTGAGAATTTGATTTCAAATACAATCAACATTGAGAAAATCACAAGCGTAGCACTGATTTCACTATTTTTAAATATTATAATCCATTATCGACAATTAGACAAGTTTTGTCCACCATTGTCCACTGCACCTTAAGTCCTTTACAGAGTTTCAAACATCTCGCCGCCTTTCTTCTACAATTGGTCTCCATGAATACATAGGTTATTATCGCTTCTCCAATGGACTTACTTAATATATTACTTATACGCATTTAAAAGTAGTGCATAGCACAGATATATGTTCTGCCAACTTATGACTAAAATTGTAACACATTTTTCCTAGGATGCATTAAAAACCTAACTGACTCATGGCTGCATATTGTCGAAAAGACCAGAAATTAGGAAAGAAAAACTATTTCCAACCCCTAACTACTCCTCCACAAGATTCTCCACAGAAGTCTCTGTGAAAAAATAGATCCAGATAAACGCCGAGAAGCTTAAAGTCATTTATTTGCATGTGGCCAGTAGCAGAATTCAGGAATTTCATTTCGTTACTAATTACGGCACGTCATCTGCATGCCACTGCTCCCCTCCCCCCTCTGTTTGATTGTGAGTCGGACGGAAAGACCACAGCTTCAAACGCCAGAGCGTTGCTCACCATGCCACAGGAGGCGTCTGCTATGCAAAAAGCATAGTAGCAATCTCCTGAACTACTAAATATCGCAAATGATTCAATCCTCATTCCACACACTACCTCCAAAGACAATACTCAGATAACAGGATAAATAATTAAAAAAATGTGACAAAACAATGCGAATCTACAGGAACACTGACAACTTATTTCGGTGACTAGCAGTATGGAATCTTGGATGTGCATTTCGTCTTTTGTGGGACTCATCAACTGATATACCTGTATTCCAGTGAGTGATGGTATTGCCACTGAGACTGGACACGAAGAGATGCATCACAGAAAATCTCATAGTTTTTGTGACGGCTGAGGCATTGCTCGGACACGCAAACCGAAGTAGATGGTTGTTTTAAGGGGCTAACCCCCGAGTCTTTGACTTGAGTTCTGATCCACAAAGCAGTAGATTTGCGTTAGAGGTCGCGTTCCCATGGTTTCCTGTCACACAAAAAGACACGTTCATACGCCGTTCGGAACGTTCAAATTCTGGAGCCTATGTACAGCATATAGCAGACCTATATGTCCAACAGCCCGATTGTAAGCGCCAGATGTTCACATTCACCCTCTAACTTTGTGAGAAACATCCCCATCGCAAAGTCTATGAACACTTGGCCAGATGACAACATTTCGAAGGGACAAGCAAAGTCTACCAACCCTCAGCTGTACCAGGTCCTCTATGGGGATAGATTATAACCTGATATATATGGCAAATCTATCTTGGGTAACTGAGTTCAAAACAAAAAGAACGACTGAGTCACTTATATGAGACTGTTCAATAATCCAATATTTTCTTACCATGTTCAACACCACCAACATATACATCAACAGGTAAACTTTTAGCAGCTTTTTCACGATCACATATCGCCTTTGTATTATTCGGATCCAAATATCTTAAATAATACCAGGATGAGTCAACAAATGTGTCTAATGTATCCGTTTCACGATTGGCTGGATTACCACATCTGAAAAGAAAAGGCGAAATATACATTTTCAATTAATGAAATTATGTGTAAGCGTCGTTGTTGAAGGAGTTCAGTGGTATAACTGCTCAACAAACATGCAACGGTTCCAGGTTCGATTCCCGGTAGACCCACTCTTGAACAACACTATGTTTGTCAGCCAACAGTAAACTCGGGAGACGGAGAGGGTTAAAATGATATCCACAACAGTTAATTTAAGCCAGCCACGTAGGAAGGTGTAGACTTCCTGACTGACTGGTTGGGATCCTCGGGATGGCGAAAACCAATGAAGACTGGAGACAATTGGTGATATGGTCAAAAATCGCCTCCCGAAATGATGGTGGGGATGCGTTTACTCTCTGTGATTTATAATCTCTAATACAATTCTATTGTTCTTCCATATTACTATTCTTTTTCCGTCACTCACTCCCGTTTATTATCTCTCTTTTCAATCACTCTCTCTACTTTCTTCTATTAATATGTGTGCTATATGGAGGGAGAACCTCGCCTAGATTACTAGGTCACTAGTATTCTAGCCGGTCCCAAGCCCGGATAAAGAGGGAGGGTTGGGGCGTGGTGCTAGTAACTTCACCCCCAAAACTTAACCAAAATGCTACTAAAACTTCAACGCACAAATATATTCAAAATTCTAAAAATACAAACAATAACCTTATTTTTCGCTGGAATCGGGGAAGTGAAATGACGCAGGCTGGTGGAAGCCTTCGGGAAGCCAGTCAGCCGATGTGCCTTCTTTCGATGAAAGCGAAAATATGGATGGGGACGTGGAATATTCGTACAATGTACGAAACTGGAAAGGTTGCTCAGGTAGCCGCAGAAATGAGGAGATATAAAATAAAAGTGTTGGGAATCTGCGAGAGCAGATGGAACGGATGCGGAAGGTGCCAACTACCAACTGGAGAGACAATAATCTACTCTGGTCACCCAGAGGACGACCACGAGCACACCGAGGGAGTAGCCATCATGATGTCACCAACAGCGGCTTAAGCTCTCATGCAGTGGGAACCAATCTCCTCCAGGATAATGACAGCCAGGTTCAACTCAAAAGGAAGGAAGGTAACAATCATTCAATGCTATGCGCCTACAAACGTCTCAGAGCAAGAGAAGAAGGAGGATTTCTACAGTCAACTACAAACAGTAATGGACAACGACCCAAATGGCGATATCAAAATCCTGATGGGTGATATGAATGCGAAGCTGGGAGGAGACGATAGAGGAAGAGAACTCACCATGGGTCGTGAGGCCCTCGGTGAAATGAACGACAATGGTGAACTATTCTCAGACTTCTGTGCCTTTAAGGATTTGGTGATTGGTGGCAGTGTGTTCAAACACAAAGATATACACAAGGCGACATGGATTTCACCAGATGGACACACCAAAAGCCAGATAGACTTCATTTCAATCTCAAGGAAGTGGAGACGGAGCCTACTGGACACAAGGTCGAGGAGAGGAGCAGATGTGGGTTCAGACCACTACCTAGTACAAGGGACTTTCAAGGTGAAGCTGAAAGCCTCGAGGATAGCTGGGGATAGGCCACAATGCAAGTTAAACACGCAAAAACTGAAGGACACAATCACACAAGACATTTTCACTGCAACTGTCAGAGTAAAAACAAGAAACACTAAGTGGCACCACTGAGGAATCATCCGTGGAAGACCATTGGAACTCTCTGAAGGTAATTTTCAACGAAACGTGCTCAACGGTTTTAGGAAGAAAGAAGAAACAAGACAAGGAATGGCCCTCAACGGACACTTGGAAGCTAATAGAGGAGAGGAGAATGGTGAAAGAGAAAATGATTCAATGCAAAGACGGACAAGAGAAAGAGACGCTGAGCTCAACTTACACAGCACTGGACAAAGAAGTGAAGACGAGTGCCAGGAAGGACAAAAGACAATTCTACGACAACCTGGCTACTGAAGCTGAGAAGGCAGCAGGCAAAAGGGACCTGAGGACACTATATCAGATAACCAAGTCTCTATCCGGGAAGAGATCAACACAAGTGAAACCTATAAAAGACAACCAAGGGAACCCAATTACCAAAGAAGAAAGACAGATTAAACAATGGGCGGACCACTTCAAAGGACTCTTGAACCGACCACCACCTACAACCCGTCCAGAAATACCAACAACAACACGTACACAACTGTAAGTTGACACCAATCCTCCAACGAAAACTGAAGTCTTGAATGTGATCAAGCTCCTGAAAGCTGGAAAAGCAGCTGGACCAGATGGAATACCCCCGGAAGCACTGAAAGCGGACCCAGAAACGACAGCAGATATGCTGACTCCATTATTGCAAACGATCTGGAAAGAGGGAAAGGTGCCTACTGACTGGAGGAAAGGTTACCTCGTGAAACTACCAAAGAAGACCGACCTAGGACTCTGCAAGAACTAGAGAGGAATCATGCTCCTGTCGATGCCAAGTAAAATCCTGAGTCGCATCATCCCGGAGAGAATAAAGGACGCACCGCATACAGAACTCCGACCAGAACAAGCTGGATTCAGGAAAGGCAAATCATGCTCTGACCAAATTGCAACTCTACGCATCATCATCGAACAAAGCATGGAATGGTAATCAAATCTCTACCTCAACTTCCTTCATAGACTTTGAGAAGGCCTTCGACATTGTTGACCGCGAAGTAATTTTGAAACTACTCGAGTACTACGGCGCACCCCAAATATTCATCAACCTTATTCAACAGCTGTACGACAACGGCACATGTCAAGTGATCCACAACGGAAAACTCAGCGAAGCGTTTGGAGTAAACACAGGAGTCAGACAAGGGTGCTTATTATCACCAATGATATTCCTAATTGTGGTGGACTGTACTGGATTATGCGTCAGACAGTGGAAAACGAGAAGACAGGGATATCCCGGACCGACGTGAAAAACCTAGAAGACCTGGATTTCGCCCTTGGATGATTTATGTTTGATGTCACACAAAATCAAAGACTTACAAGCGAAAACCGACAAACTGGTCGAAGAAGCAGTAAAGACAGGACTCCAGGTGAACATAGACAAGACGGAGGTTATGAAAATAGCCAACCAACCAACAACAACAGCAACAACAACAACAGCAGCAACATCCAGCGCCAATCACCATCAACGGGAGGGATTTGAAAGACGTTACTTCTTTCACCTATCTAAGGAGCATTGTCTCAACTACAGGAGAAACGGACGGACGAGGATGTCAAATCGAGAATCGGGAAGGCGAGAAACACATTCATCAACCTGAAACCAATCTGGAAAACTTCCACTGTCACTCCTCAGCATCAACAACAAAATTCGGATTTTCAATACAAACGTCAAGTCAGTCAGTTCTTCTATACGGATCAGAAACTTGGCGGGTCACAAAGAATATTTCCAACAGCCTGTTGCAGACCTTTATCAACAACTGTCTTCGTTCTATACTGAAGATCAGATGGCCGGAAAGAATCACAAACAAGAAGCTATGGGAAGAAACAAAGCAAGAACAAATCGCTCAACAAATATGCAGGAGAAAGTGGAGATGGATTGGACACTCACTCAGGAGGCCATTGGGTGACATCGCGCGTCAGGCCACCGCTCGAGTGGAACCCGAAAGGGAAGCGCGAGTGGGACGCCCAAGGGTGACATGGAGGAGATCGTGTGAACAGGAACTGAAACAGTATGGATTAACATGGATGCAAGTAAAAAGTACAGCAGAAGACAGAAGCAAGTGAAGACGTGCAGTTGAAGCCCTATGTTCCACTAGGAACCCAAGGGAACAATAATAATAATAATATATGGAGGGAGTGTGGTAAGTAGAACTGCTGCACACCTGTGCAAAGTTCTCCGTTAAAACCATTCAGGAAGGATGGAAGGTTTAAAGCCCTATGTTCCACTCGGAATGAGTAGGAACGAAAAGTATTCATATTTTTAGTGATAAAATTCCTTCATCTATCGTGAGCTCGAACATACAGCCCATGAATGTGTGAAGTTGTAGCTTACTGTCTTAAGCACTCATTTGACTTTCAGTTAGTGGGTATGGAATTAGAAATCGAATACATCTGCTTTATCCCAAGGAACTGCATAGTATCATCGGCTTTCACATACAATAAGCGTAGTTCATAACGTGGTACTTGAGAAATCTGTTCCAAGTTTTAGTAAAACATAATGCAGTCCATTAGATGAAAGTTGAACATTTCAATCAGTTAGTCATGTGGCTTCCTGATTAGCAGAAATAATACCTAAATGACTCACAAAATCCCCACCATTTGGAAACTGCCGTTGAAATTATGGAGAAATGACCTCACTTCCAGCATCAAACTAGCATTCGAAATCGTCTAGGTTAAGGAAAAATCCTCACAACTTAAGTTAAATGTTAGGTTTCATCGCTACACAGTAAAATTCCAGATTTTATTTTCATATAGTCTTTCTGTCTAGGTTTGATTCCCGGAGGATACACTCCTATACCTTACCTGACCGGTAGAACACACAGCAAAAAGAGGGAAGGACAGCTGTGGGGCTAGCAAACCCACCTCTTAAAAATGACACTACCGTTAATGGAATTTCAAAAGACTTGAAGCAGCCATATTTCGCTGCAAAATGCAAAGCAATGCAAGAGAAAATCTGTTTGACTTTCAAGTAATGGTTTTGTAGGGGGATTTTGTTTGATTGGATGGAGGTATTCATCATGAGCTGACATCAATTAGAGAACCACTGGAAAACCTGGGAGTACTGGACATCTGTTTCGTCCTAGTTTAGGACTCTTCAGCCCTCCTTGTAACCAGAAAGTCCTGTGTTCGAAACCTAGCGGTGCGTGCATACTGACGAAGAGTCCCAAACTAGGTTGACTAAATAGTTGTCGAGTACTCCCAGGTTTTCCAGTGGTTCTCGAACTGACATCAGCTCATGATGAAATCCTCCATCCAATAAAATCTGTTTGAATCAAATTACAGGTCCACTGAAACTTGAGTGTAGGACAGGTTAATTTAAAACTAAGTGTTATACAGTCGATTGCCGGTTGTTATTCAACAATATTCACACTACCTTGAAAGACATAAATAACCATATCAGGATAACTTGTCATTTCGGTTTTCCGCCAGACGTCTGCTTAGAGTGTTTCTATTGCCCTTGGATCCGACTTGGTTAATCGGCGGACTAACCGTGAACGGTAATGCTCATCTCTGGTTCTATTCAATCTTTTCAGTTTAGATTGCAGAATTCGAGAGCACTTTAGTTTAAATATAAAGAATGAATTTATTTTATGGCCTGCTTAAAACCTGATATAAGTATAAAACTTGGGCACTGTGATAAAACATAACTCCATTATGGATAAAATTTTTATTTTGATAAAATCACACAGTCGTGTAATACAGTAATATTTACTGATGAAGTTTCGAGCACAAACTATCGCCACTCATAATCATATCAAGTCACTCACTCACACAAATTGCTTGCTTCATTTATATACATGTGTGGAATTGACTAGATATTTGAATAAAAATTAATATGGGATAATGTACATTCAGAAATAATAATATGAGTGTTATTGATCAATTACAATCAGATGGGAAATAAGACGAGTGTTTTTATTGTCAAAATAAATAAGTAACTTGTTAGAATGTTGTGATATGCTTGAATTGAAATGGAAGTTTAAGATTATTTATTATCCTCTTCCGATTTGACTGGTGGTAATAATATCTTCCATATTTCTGGTATTTGCATTGAGTCATTTCTATTGCATGTGTTGTGTTGGGTGTAGACTCAATGAACAAGGATTCAGTAATCAACCTCTAACCCTCTCTACCTACATAGATTACTTCTCAGAATTTCAGCCCTCTCTCACCACACTATTGTGTGGTTGTGTGTTAATGCATCCAATACACTTGCTGAACTCTTTTCTAAATTACTTATCTTCTCAGGGTCAACCATTCTAACCTTAGCTAAATTCTTATATCCCGACAATCTGTCTACCCCCAACCAGCTAGTTTGACCTATGTAGTTGACCTCACAGTGTTAAAACATGAGCTACCAAAAAACCTTAAATTAATATAGTGCATATACTTTCTCTTATTCAGTTTGTTTAAACCTAGTCAAATATGATCTCTGATAGTATCGTTTACTCTGGTGAATATTTAAACCATTTAAAACCTGCTGTTTCGTAAGTTTCTACCATTAAACGTGAGAGGAAAAGCGTTACCCTCGATGGCAGAGTATGCCAATACATGAAATAACTCTCCTCGAGTTATGTGTCCATTGGACCCAAAAATGCACTCTTGAACCTTTTAATAATTGGCTTTCAAATGAATGCCATGCATTTCTCGAAGGAGACAAAGAAAAGATTGGTTGGTTTGCGCTTCAGATCAGATAGAACTGTGTTTCAAGCGATCTACTGTCACTTAATCTTTTATCTGAAGATCCTGAATGAAAAGAGAATATATCCTTCATATCACGTAGAGCTTGGAAATTTTCTATTATTCATAACTTGTGTTCCGAGGAGAATGTAGGATTTCAGGGGTAAATCTCCACTGCCCTCAATTTTCTGTCATCATTCTCAAGTGGCTTCAGAACTGGCAAGTGGCTATCATTTCCTCTTCAGATAACCTTCTCCACGTCACCCATGGACACCTAACTCGTCGCTTCTGATTCCAATCCCACTCAATCGCCTGATGTTTGATGTGGTGTAAACCGACGTTTAACCGGGAATACATCCAATCCATCTCGATTTCATTTTGCTAGAGTAGATGGATTCCCAATACTGTTACTGGCAACAAGATAGACGGACAATTAATGTGCACCTGGATGGTCCGGGGTTCGAGCCCCGGCCGACTCACTCCTTTACCTCGCTAAGCCAGAAATAATGCTGGTGAAGAGTAAAGGTTGGGCATGAGGCTAGCAACCGCATCCTGTAAAATAAACACCGCTGCAGAAACTTCGAGCCACAACCTTGAAGCCCTATGTTCCACTGGGGAACGTGAAGGATAAAAAAAATACTTCGATTCTATCTACTCTCACAGATTTCCAACACCAACAGGCTCAACCAAGTCTGGTAAGAGAACAGCTACTAACTCACTAATGACACTGGCTGACAGCCGCCATATGTACATCACGAATCGGCTGAATTTGAGATTCATCAACCATCGAACACGGTCTCTATGGCTGAATAGTCTACGAGTTCACCTTGTCTCCTGGAGGTTCCGCGTTCGAACTCCACCAGATGCGTACTGACGAGGAGTCCCTTAAACGGACGAAACAGCTGTCCAGTGCTCCCAGACTTTCCAATGCTTCTCTAACTGATGTAAACTCCAGATCGTACGGGTAATCTTGTGATTTCTTCAAGAATATATGCAGTTTAGAATACAATACAGAAATCTGCAGCACGTCAGTGAGTTGGACTCTGGGTGATATCACCATACCATAAAAGCAGATGACTCTATGAATTACGTTAATACAGTTAATGATAAACCAAAACCAAAAAATCGATACATACGTTCTAACGGTAGTAACTTACTTAGGGCATGTTGTCTTACGCCAGGATTCATTATGCTTCAACGGTTCATCACCTCGTTTCAGGGCGTCGTCAAGTGGTGGGAGGACAACAGGCAATTGATCTTCAGGCACTGGGACTGGCTGAAAAAATTGGACAAAAGGCAGTGAAAATGAGACAGCAAGAGTAAAAAAATAAGAACAATATACGAGTTAAAAAACTCACTAGTTCAACGTGGCACTATGTACACAAGTGCAGTAGTTCAAGTTGCATAAAGACAAATACCATTATTTTTTCTCTCTTGATTACCATTTATAGTGTCAAAAGGTAGTCTGGTGGATAACACACTGGCGTTTGAAACGATGGGCAATCGGTGCGAGCCTCAGTGAGAGCACCATCACTCATTCACTGCGGAATGCAGATACATCCACTAGCTGACGAGTCCCAAATAGGACGAAATGCGTATCCTGGATTCCCCTGCTAGTTACCTACCATAAACCAAGTTACTTCAAGTTAAATCTGCAGACATCACTGAAGCATCCGCACAGGGAGCCGACATGTCAACCTGAGGCCGAACACTTCGGCATCATCAATCAACGGGAAAGTCCACGTTACCTTCAGATTCATGCCCAACTAGCCGTATCCCATTCCAGTTCAACTAGAGGACATGCGTGGCGTGAGATGTCACTCGACGACCTCTTCAGTGTACGTCCAACTTATCTCCATTACCTTCTGTATATTTGTTCAGCAATAGGCTATTGGTTGCGTCGGTGGCACAGAGGTAGGATGCTCGCCAACCACGCCTCATGTGTTTCGGGGTTTGATCCCCGGCTGACGCACTACTTCACCTCGCTAAGTCGGTAATAAGACTAGTAAAGAGGGAAGGTTGGGTACGAGGCTAGTAACTCCATCCCGTAAAAATAAACACCACTGCTAGTGAAACTTCAATGTTTAGCTTGAATCCTTATGTTAGGTACTATTCCTTGTATTAAGTACTGCGGATATTCACACTGAGTTCCAGACCCTGGTTGACGTTGACACCTTCATCCCTGCCGCCACTTGTAATTAAAACAATGATGCCCAAGTAAATGGGCAGAAACGAATTTCCTTAAATTCCTCCAGTTCACAGTGATATCCCCATTAAAATACACATTCTAAACATCATTACGCTACTGAAACTGTGACGTTGGAAGACGAAAGACTTGGTAAAGGAATGTTCACTGGCAGTTTGGTATCTCCATATAACCATCTTCAACGCATTATTTGCACAGACCTTCCATGCTGTGTTACTTCTGGCCTTCATACTGTGTTTCTTTCACGTCTCCCATGTATCTCCTCCGCAACGCTGATTCATTTGCATTCTCTTACATTAAATCTACGTGCTATTTGATGTTTTTATTCCGATGAACACCTCTTTATGTATATGTATTATATATTACTGATAAATCATATCAGTAGTACACGCCACAAAACCAATAAATACAACTAAGGGACACACAATATAACTCACCCCACATGTATCACAGTGTATAATCGGTATAGGAGTGCCCCAATAACGTTGTCTAGATACCAGCCAATCAGTACGGTCATCACTACACCAATAACCACCACGTCCAATGATCTTCAAACACAGAAATTAACAGAAATTCACATGTTATTAACAAAACAGAGGGAAGTGGAAAAAGTGATACCTTCAAATAACTTGAAACGAAATATTACAGAGAAAACAAGAAATACACACAACATACTATTGATTGGTTGATGCAGATGAGTAGTTATACACCACTCACATCAACCGGTAGACCTTGTAAGCCAGATCGAAGGGGTCTAAACTCCGGGACGGTGGTTTTGCTGGTTCACGACTGAGCTCATCCAGTGACATACCCGGTTCGACTCAGCTCAGAGTGAGGAATAATTTCGCTTTCCAATGAAATCTGTGGTGAAACTCCACCTTGAATCGTGTCAATTGTGATTTAATTAGCACAGTGAGAATTCGATTCACAAAAAAACTGATTGATGTGCTTATGGAAACTTTGAAACTATGGACGACTGTCTCATGACAGATAGTGTGACACACACACATACACAACTTTCGGCGTCCGCTCATATTTTAACAATATCACGTATTAAATCCGCAGTGTTGATTGATTTCTATCAGCCAAGATTGAAATGTGATCACCAAGCCATACAAAATTCGTTATTGCGGTGCATTGTGAGAAATTATGTTAGATGGCTAGAAGCAATCGCCAGAAAATACGTTTTGTCTTGATTGAATCAAATATTTGCTGATACCCATTGCACAAGACGTCACTCTCGTGTTTCAAGTGGTCTAGTGGAAAACTCTTTGACGTTTGAAACTGTGAGTACTGGGTTTGAGCCCCAGTAAGAAAACATCCACTCAGTGACTGGGGAATGCAGGTACATCCAAGAGCTGGCGGGTCCCAAATATGACGGAATGTGCCTCCTGGTGGACTCCACTGCTAGTAACCATTCACCAATCTAATACGTTTCATGGTTAATGGAAGTCGTCAACAAGGTGTATCTCTCCAACATTGAAGGAAATGATTCCCTCTCTTGCAAATACAAATGCCAGTCTCATTCACTTGGTTCTGCAGTCAGAGATGTTACTACTTAGTATAAATAACCTCTCCTAACATCTAGCATAAATTCGATTCTGAAGTGATGACAACTATTGGTTACCGTCACGGATGCCAAATGTCTTCATCATTTCTGTTCAATTTCGTTATTGATGTACTAATAGACATAACCCTAACTGACCGCAGCAACCCAGGGATTGACTTGTTACCTGGGAATAAAAGCCTTGTTGACTTAGACTATGAGGACAATACAGTCCTCCCTCTTAGGTGAAGACGTTGAAAAAATGCGGAGTCTTCTCAAAGCCTTGTAGAGCAGCAATCTTATAATGTTTTGGTAAGCGATACGCTCCTGTCAAATTCAAGTAAGATGACACTACAGGACTAGACTACATCGACTGAGTCGTAGCTTAGAGACAGACAGGAGTGAAGTGGTAGAGTGTGTTGACGATCGCTGGTTGATCGCTGACGAATTCTCAGCAAGGATGCAGAAGGCTTAGGTGGCATTTGCCAACTTACACCATCTCTTGCTTAGTAGACCTGATATCCGATTGACTGTCGACCAAAAGTATACTTCTCACCACTTCGCTCTGTCCTCCTTTATGGCTGTTTGTAAGACATGGCCATTGAAAGTGGAAGAAATGAATGTAAAGGCCAGCTAGCTGTCCTTTCATCATAGGTGTCTGCATTCTGTCCCCCGTGTTAGCCGGTGGGTATAGTAGAGTCAGTAATATAGAGTTGGTTAGGAATGAATTGTTAGGTAAGGAGGGAAAACCAATCGACGAGGTTGTGAGGCAGCTGCAACGACAAGGATATGTGTAGTGTATACCTAGCCATCCATCACCTTCCTCAATGGGCGATGTTAGCTGACATAAGATGGATCAGGTTGGAAAAGAGCTAGTGGTGGTCAAACCAAAACACGGCCTCATCAATCAATCAAATCCATTACAGTTAGTTTGAACCAAACACGTAGGGAGATGTAAAGTGCCTGAATGGCCAGTTGGGGTCGTCGGGATAATAAGAACCAATGGAGGCTGGAGACAATTGGTGGCGATATGACTCAAAATCCTCGTTCTCAATGAATAGCGCAGACGAGCTCACTCTTTGTGATTCGTTGCATCCAATAAAACTCTATTCTTCTTCCATACTACGACTATTCTTTTTCCCTCACTCACACTTCAGTTTATTATCTGTCTGTCTTTTAAATCTCTCCTCACTCTCTTGTCTTGTTTTGTGTGCTATATGGAGGGAGAGTGGCAGCTCCAACCACTACACATCTATGCGAAATTCCATGTTGAAACTAGTCAGTCATTCGGGACTCGTTAGTTAGATGCATATACGTGCATCTCGGTGGGCGATGCTCCTCCTGAAACTTAAACCCAATGCGCATTGTTTCAAACATCAAAGCGTTAACCACTGGGCCAGTGGGTGATGAAAATCACCTCTTGCTGAAATTATTATTTTGGCTTTACTATTTATTTATTTTATTGTTCCAAAGAACAAAAGAAAACAGTAAATTGATAATCTATGATACCTTCGTCGGGCTGTAGTTCATCAGTCTAGGCTCTCGACTTCCTACTAGTAAGCTATGGATTCGAATCCCGCTCCATCCATAGACGTCTAGGCAGGCAGGTAGTATTACTCGCCTTCTCACACAGACACATACAACACGTGTAGCTCAATGAAAACTACATGGAATCACAAGTAGTGGCTGCCAAGTAGACAGTTTTTTCTATCCTTCATTTTTAATATAATCTACTTCAGGAGTATTTTGTGAGTACGCTTCAATGAAAAAGACTAAACTGTTAAGAAAAGAAAAGAAAATATTTAAGATAAACTCACCTTTAACATTTGCATAGCTTTATCCGTTGACTCACCAACTGTCTTGCCATGAAGCTATTCAACAAAGAAAGAAAACCACACAACCTTCAATTGACTGATCTTATTATCACATATGACACACAAAAGGTGAACATTATTCAAAGCGAGAGACAGAGAGGGAGAGAGAAAGAACCTTAGGGTAACATGACTGTCTTTGATATGCTCAAAAGCAATAAAACGCACACAATCTAGGTAAATTATAAGTGAAAGGAGTTTAGAGACTATCTCAGAGTTTTAATTCCATTATAGAATAATCTTATTTATTATATGTAACAGAGGCATACAGTATTATTTTATTTTTATTTACTGACGACGTATGAAGCTTAGAGAAAAACTCAGCAATCACAGCAATGACTGCACAAAACATGCAATCACACAAAATAGAATGGGGCAATGCTACAACTCTACAAAGTTATGTATATATGTAGGTAGGTAGAGAGCGATGTTGATCAGTAAATCTTCGTTCATCGAATCTACGCCTAACACGTGAAATAGGAATGACTAAACGACGATACCGGTGATGTGGAAAAGGATGACAGATAATGAAACTAGATTAACAAGTTATTTTATTTAATTTGAACTTTTGTGTTGATTGATTGAACCGAAGTGATTGGGATCCCGTTGACACGTTGGCACTCCCTGTGCAAATGCTCCAACGAACGATATCTGATTATTTAACTTGAAGTAAATTGGTGGGTGGTAAGTGACTAGCAGTGGAATCCACCAGGATGAGCCTTTCATCCTATTCGGGGCTCATCAGCTAGCGGATGTACCTGCATTCCCTAGTGAGCGAGTGAGTGTGTGAGTGGTGGTGTTCCCCCACTGAGTCTCTCGTGGCCCAAGTGGTCTGATGGATAACGCTCTGGTGTTTGAAACGATGACTACTGGGTTCGACCCTCAGTAGGAACACCAGCACCCACTGGGGAATGCAGGCACATCTAGACAACGAGTCCCGAAAAGGACGAAATGCGCATCCTAAATTCGACCACTGGTAGTCACCATCCACGGATTTACTAGATAAACAAAATTCGAAACTTATGTGAATCCCTTGACAGGATGATTATAAGCAGCAATAAATTGTACTCGAAAAGTCATCAGTAAATAAGTAATATACTTTACCACTGTGTAATTTTATCAAATAAAATTATCACATTATGGAATCTACAAAACTGCATTAAAATTGTCATGCCCAAACTCAAGACACTGAAAACTTTGTTAAATATAAGATTTATAAAATATCGAAGGGTAAGTTGTCACGCGGCATATTGTTCATCCACTCCTCAATCTCTACAGGTGATGCGCACGACGCTTGATGCAATCATGAATGGGTTGAAATGACTTCTGAATTTGGAAAAAGTATTTGCTCAGTACTCGAACTGATTTTTTATCTCAATTTTCGTCGTAGATTGATATTAGTTAGAGGAGCATTGAGAACCACAGAGTACTGAACAGCTGTTTCCCATCACTTGGTGACTCTTCAGAGGTACACACCTATGACCCCACGGTGGACTGAATCCAGTACCTTCAGGTGACGAGGCAAGTTCACTACCGCAATTAAATGGCTCATGAATTCTAATCTCTGTCGATTGGCCACTTGTAGAGCCACTGACAGCCAATGTCATAGGTAAGTACTTGAATACTTCACATTCGACCTGGAGGACCCAAATTGGCCATGACTTCTCACTATAACTTCAGTCAACATCATTCTGTAGTCAAACACTATTGAGTATTAGATTAATTTTCAAGTATTGATTTGCACGAATTTCATTGTTTTCTGGCTGCATGCTACTGAAGAGTCTCAAGGAAGGACGAAACAGCTGTCCAGTATCCACTGGTTTTCAAAGATTCTCTAACTGATGTCAATCTATGACCGAACTTCAAATCATTCAAACCCCCTACAAGCCAACACTTAATTTACATCTGTTGTATAAAAGCTGATATGAAATATGTGACATATATTGACATCATAATGTATAATAAACACGAAATAAGTCGCTCGACATTATCTGGTCTAGATCGATAAATGTAACAATTACTATAAGAATAATCAATCAAACTGACATAAAAACATTATAACGTCAGTAGACAAACATATTTCTACTTTTGAAATATGAAAAATATCCATGTGACATAAATTAAGAGCACATAGAGGTCAGCGAAAACTGTTCTTTATGTGACTACAATTCAAAGCTTTACAGTTATGTAGTGATGATTAGAAGGTTGGAAGCGATTGGCAGGAAACCCTTCCCGGAACTAGGTTTCGCGCTTGTTGTCACTCACCAGTCCAGTCAGTAAGGCGTATTTGCAACTACCTTGAAGGAACTCATGTCCCTTCTGAGATTCAAACTCAAGTCACCTAGTGTTGCAGTCATAAGTGTTACCACTACCGAGCTATTCGGCCTCAAAATTGACCTCCTGTAGAACTGCATTAGAAACTTATGATTGGACATTAGTTACAAACACGTACCATGGGTCTAGTCTTTTGTTTGAAGCAGAGTGAATTTCTTCAGTCAAGTTTGCAATGTAACCAGAAGGGACATGATTTGTTTCTTCAAGATTGTAGATACATCTTGCTGACTGACTGACTGGTGAGCGTCAACAAGCACGAAACTCACGTCAAGAAGGACTTCCCGCCGATTGTCTCGAACAATCTAATAACTGCTTATAGTTTTTTTTTAATTTTCTCTTTCTTTCTTTACCTTTGTGTGCTACATGGAGTATAGCAACCGGAAGTGTTGCACTTCTGTACAAAGTTACACGTTACAAATTCAACCCCATCTAACCGAAAGTATGTAGGAACGATAAGGTCGACAGGAGTCAGGATCTGTCTTACTTTCCATTGGAGTCCCCTCAGATAAAGACATCTGTATTTAAACCACATGGTACCGACAATAGCACACTCAAAATTAGCACACACTGTTTGTTATTATTGTTTCCTTTAATTCCTAGAGGAACATAGGGCTTCAGCCGTGCGTCTCCATTGCGTTCGGTTCTCTGCTAGAGTTTTCACCTGGCTCCAAGTCTGCCCAAATGCTTTCATCTCCTCTTCACATCACCTCCTACAAGTCACCCTTGCACTGACGACCAACTCGCCGCTTCCCTTTCGGGTTGCACTCGAGCAATGGCTTGTCTAGTGATGTCACTTGATGGTTTCTTAAGAGTATGGCCAATCCATCTCCATTTCTTCCTGCCTATTTGTTTCACAATCGGTTCCTGGTTGGTTCGTTCCCAAAGATCCCTGTTGCTGATCTTTTCTGGACATCCGATCTTGAGTATGGAGCGAAGACAGCTGTTAATGAAGGTCTGTAGTTTGTTTGAGATGCTCACTCACTGTTACACTATTATTATTATTACTATTGCTATATTCTTAATGTTCCCTTGGGTTCCAAGTGGAACATAGGGCTTCAACAGCATGTCTCCACCTTCTCCTGTTCTCTGCAGTCCTCTGAAGCTGGCTTCACGGTTGCTCATAGTTTCTCATCTCCTCCTCATACGATCTCCTCTATGTTACTCTTGGACGTCCAACGCGTCACTTCACACTGAGGTTCCTCTCTAGCGATGGCCTGGAGCGCGATGTCACCCAACGGTCTCCTCAGAGTGTGCCCAATCCACCTCCATTTCCCCCTTCATATTTGTTGAGCAGTAGCTTTCTCACTGGTTTCTTCCCAAAGTGTCTTGTTTCTAATTCTTTCCGGTCGGCCATTTCATCTTCACTATGGACCCAGCCAATGCAGTCGTTGATAAAAGTTTGAAACCTGTAGGAAATGTTTCTCGTGAGGCACTCACCAAGTTTCTGGCCAGTATAGAAAAGCCAATTTAACATTTGTGTTGAAAAATCGAATCTTTTTCTTTGTGCTGAGTTAGTGCCGAAGATTTCCAAACAGATTTCAGAGTGATGAAGGTTTGTCTTGTCTTTCGGATTCTGGCTTCGACATCTTTAACTGTTACTCTGGCATGTGGTCGAAACAATGCTTCCTAGATAGGCGAAGGAAGTGACCACCTTCAAATTTCTCCCTTTGATGGTGATTGGTGTGGTTGTTGTCGTTGTTGGTTGGTTGGTTGGTTATCTTCACCACCTCTTCTTCACATGGAGTCCTGTCTTCGCTGTCTACCTCTTCATCCGGTTTGTTGATTTCACCCGTAAGTCTTCGAGTTTGTGTGACATGTGACATAAATCATCCACGACGTCGACATCTTCTAAAGTCTTCTCATCGGTCCAGTACATTCCTGTCTTCTCGTTACCCACAGTCTGACGTATATATAATCCAGCCCACTGTTACTCGATTGATCCCTACGAAATACACAAGCAATAGCTCAGTGAAGACAATGTTGACACATAATCCCATATACACCAGTGAATACTGTTCAATTTGATCTACAATAAATCAACAACAAGGAAGGATGGGGCGGGGATGGGAAGATCAAAACACTCTATGACAAAAAAAGAAATAATGAGAAACATTGGGAAGAGACAATTCACATACACACAGAGAGGAAATCATTGAGCATACCTCAGGAATAGGAGTATTTATAACACACTGGCTTAACTCATCTTCATTTGAAATATTCAACTCGTTCACCTTTGATGAATCCTTTATCCCATAGGATAATTTTCCCGGTGGTAACGGGATATCCAGTAGTTCTGATAGGAGATCAGTTGTTTGACCATGTAGAGAAAAGACTAGAAAATAAAACAAGGAAAATAAATAATCGATCTCTTCAATAAATTTTGTGTATAGGGTGATTTGAAGAAAAGTACATCTGACAAATATGAAGGATTAAGTTTCATCGCTTACTGATATTAATTAGTTAGAGAACCATTGAAAACCACTGGTGAGTACTGAATAGCTGTCTGTTTCTTCCTAGTTTGGGACGCATCAACAGTATGCACCCACTGCGCTTCGAACTCGAAACTCATGAAAATATCATGTAGTTAATGAGCCCAAGTGGTGAAGTTAAACTAGAATAGCTAAAGTCAAGGTCTGTCAAATATTGACCTTCAAGAACCAATCAGATTTAGGGGACATTAAGAACAGACTGACTGACTGACTCGTTTCAACAGAGAACTTTGAACAGATGTGCAGTAGTTTGAATTACCACACTTCCTCTATGTAGCGCACAAGGCAAGAGAAGAGAGTAAAGAGAAATTCAAAAGTGAGAGAGATGATAAACAGAAGTATTAGTCAGCTTTAAATCATTTGGCGTCCTAATTCTGTTTTTTTAAATTTTATTTTCATACACAAACGCATCCTATTTGATTTGAGATAAACTTTATCGCCGAAGAAGTATGCATTAAACCAGACTTAAAAACATGAAAGTACAATGATTCGATAGTTTGCAATAGACAGCTTTCAATATATTTCATACAAAATGTTGCTTTGATGTGGTAATCAAATCTACTTAGATAAGTATTAACCAAAATGCCTTTTTATCTGAATAAGAATGCTTAATAAGGCGTATTTGAGTGCCCAGATTCCTTTGTCCTTCTTCCTGAGTGTGAGGCAGGAAGACAATAAGATGGATTGGAGACTGTTGGTCGAGTAACATCATGCGCCAGACCATCGCTCGAGTGAGACCTAAATGAGAAACAACGAGTCGGGTGACAGAGAATATCGTATTCTTGGGGAATGAAAGCCTATAGGCGATCTTGAGGCCAGTTCAATAAGAACTGAAGACAACAGAGAGAAATGTTCATATGCTGTCGAAGCTGTAAGCCTCATTAGAAACCCAAGAGAACACCACTAATAATAACAATAATACTAACAATACTGTAGTACAGAAAATTAAACTCTACCTAATTCATTTGGATAAGCTCTGGAATGTTTAGGCAACGGGATATTATCACGAATCATTGGAATTGAACGTCCTGTAAGTGGATGACGAACAGAAATGTCTAAAACCTCTGGCCATGGTGATACAGATGTACACGATGCAATAGACAGCTTGTTTGCATTGCTCAGATTATCCCAATCAGAGTGTAGAACTAATTTTCGACTAAAATTCAAGACACGTTTTTCTTCTGGCTAAAATAATAAATAAAGGAAGAAAATAAGACTGGCCAATTATTCATATTTATATCATAATATTGTATATATTATATCAACCGATGCTCCTATAAACAACTTCGTACGGCGGACGGTGGGTAAGACTTCTAGTTTCCTCTCGAAATGTTCCCACATGGCCACGCATTCATAGTCTCCGTTAAGTAAGTTCTATGAGCTGTCTTCATGCGGTGGCGCTAAGGTGTTCCTCACAACAATGAAAAGGCAAATGCGAACGTCTCCACTTACAACTGGACTGGTGGATATACAAGTTCACCAAGGAGAGCTGGAAATCCTTCATTCCAAATCTACGATGTACATGGGTTCCAAAATCTAAAAGGATCCAATGGTGTATGAACTTGTTTTGACCACCACAAAACTATGGGGACGTATCCCCTAACGCCGCTCCACTGCCCTGTGGATAGGATTTGAACTCACAGTCTCGGAGGGGCGGCGCACCTGTCCATTTTGATGTAGGTGTTCGCACAATATCCCAGACCTCGAACGAACTGTACGATATTGTGTAGCACATCTATTGATGTCCATAATATATACTAAGGTTACGCTTTCATAAACAGATAATACGGTCAATCAATAAATAATCATGGTAATAATAAAAGTAAGATGAAAGAATGGACCAACTACTGTATATATAAACGTGGTCATTATTTCATAAGTAGTGGCCAACAGTAAAATTCAGGATTTGGGTTTCGTCCTACCTGGGACTCATCAGCAAGATATAACCAGACTGCACATGAGACTCTAACTCAGTACTTTCAGTAAATATGTACTATAATAATGACTAACTATCAAAGATGATGCTAGTGAACCTCATTAAACAGAAAATTTAAACTTGTGATCAACTCTGTGTTTGGTCATGGCTAGCAGTGGGAATCTGGAAAGTGTGTTCTGTCCGATCCGGGATTTGTCGGTTGGGGACACCATCACTTTAGTGAATGGTTGTCTTCCTGCTGGGACCCAAGCCCGGTACAAAACGTTATCCACTAGGTCCCTGGGTCATGAAAGTGACCACTTGTACAGTGGGTATCAATTGTCGTTTGTTGATATTATTTCGAGAAGTTAACTGTTTGATTCCACTGGACTAAAATGCTTGGTCTCTGTTGACATGTGACCAGCAGTGCAGTCCAGTCAGATGCAGTTCGTCCCGTGCGGGACTTGTCATCCGGATGAAACTGAACCACAGAAAGTGGCAGTGCCCACAATGAGGCTCGATCCGAGTAATCACTGTCTCAAATGTCAACCAGATGAAAAATTAACTAACTGCCTATATGCATTCACTGATATTCCTTAAGTTCCTAGGTTTAATCTTTCTAATTGTAGATAGCTGCTCACACACTCGGAATAATCAATACTGACTTACTATTATTATTTTATTCTTATGCGCTTCCAGTGGAACATAGGGCTTCAAGTTTTGAATTTTGAAGTTCCAGTAAGAGTGGTGTTATTCTTTTTTTACGTAGTGGGGTTGTTAGCCTCACACCCAATCTTGCCTTTTTACCGGGCTTACTACCACCGGATATGGGAGGTTTAGTAATGCATCGGCCAAGGATTGAACCGCGCACCATGAGTATGGTTGGTGAGCATTTTACCACTGAATCACGGACATACCAACTAATACGAATAAGTATTTTTGTCTAACTCTTGTCATTTTATCGTAACACTAAACTAAGTTTGACAGTTTTCTCTCCCACCAACCTCCCAGCAAACAGAGACTCGGGAATAAAATCACTGGAAAACCTGGGAGTACTGGACAGCTTTTTCGTCCTAGTTTGGGACTCTTCATCAGTACTCACTCACCACCTGGGTTCGAACCCTTCCGGTTACGCAACGAGCTCATAGACCATTTAGCCCCTGGGACCCGACTCAATAGTTCATAAATTCCCGGTTGGAACTCGTGGGTGTGTACTGATGAAGAGTCCCAAACTAGGACGAAACGCCTCTCCAGTACTCTTAGGTTATCCAATGTTCCTGTAACTCATGATGAATCCTGTAACCAATCAAATTCCTGTAAACCAACACTTATCAAGAACAAGATAATATAATGCATTAAAAACCTACCTTTCTATACATATCTGCAAAGTATACACTATCTGAACCAACTCTTATATAACTGATTAAATCAGCAACAGCTAAACTTGGATATTTCGTAAATACAACTAGACGATCTTTGGCTTTTTTACTCTTTATTGAGTGACCATCTATTGACGGTGAATAAAGCATTTGATGCTGACGTGGATCAACTCTCTGTCGTTCATCAGATGAGATCACATCGAATTCTATTTGAGTACCATTCAGATTACCAAGCCAACCACGTTGCAGATTGACAACATCACGCCATTCATTATTTTCAATGTCTTTTAAACCATCTAAAAGAGACTGCCAAAAAAATTTAAAAAATTATACATACATATCAATTAATGGGATATATAATTGGTGGATGGTGACTAGCAGTGGAATCCAGGATGCGCATTTCGTCATATTTGGGACTCGTCAACTGGATGTACCTGCATTACTCAGTGAGTGATGATGTTCCCACCGAGGCTCAAACCCAGTGCCCATGGTTTCAAATGCCAAAGTGTTATCCACTAGACCACTTGGGCCACGAGAGCCACCTCTTGTGCAACGGGTCATATTGATTTAATTGAATTTTAGATTTTCCCGTTGAAGCATCTGCACAAGAAGCCGACATGTCAACCTGCGACCGAGCACTTCGGTCCAATCAATCGACGGGAAAATCTAAAATTCAATTAAGTCAATATGACCCGTTGCACAAGAGGTGGCTCTTGTGGCCCAAGTGGTCTAGTGGATAACGCTTTGGCGTTTGAAACCATGGGCACTGGGTTCGAGCCTCGGTGGGAACATCATCACTCACTGAGAAATGCAGGTACATCCAGATGACGAGTTCCAAATATGACGAAATGCGCATCCTGGATTCCACTGCTAGTCACCATCCACCAATTAAATACTAATTAAATGCCAAGACATCGTCGAAGCATCTGCTCAAGAAGCCGACATGTCAACCTGAGACAGAGCACTTCGGTCCAATCAATAGACGGGAAAATCTAAAATTCAATTAAATTAATGGGATAATCTGTAAATGTCTAGTATAACTAGAAGTGCATACAAAAGCAATATTCATTTCGAAATTCAACTCAATCAATAGTTTGAGACTGATTGGCAGTGCGCACCAACTACCAGTATTCAATCCAGGACCTTCCGGTCACAAGTCAAGCTCGTAGAACATTTATTCAGCCTCTGGGACCCGACTCAATGGCCAGCCCATGAATTCTAACTTCTGTCAACTCACTCACCAGACAATTTAATCGTTTGGATGATCAACGAGCTCATCTTGCAACATGGAGGTCCTGGGTTCGATCTCCAGTTGGTTCACAGGTACGCACTGATGAAGAATCCCAAACTAGGACTTGTACAGTACTCCCTGGTAGTTCTTTAACTGATATCATTCCGTGATCAAAACTGAAACCAATCCAATTCTTACAAAGTAACACTTGAAAAAAAGCATAGTACATAGTGCATTCAGTATAAAGGATCGCAATGATAGTGCAACGACAGAAGACAAGGGCCAGGCAACAAATTGTTTATTGAGAAAATCAAGAGATATTTATAGATTTTCAAGTATATTATTGTCAGCGGAGAAGCAACGTCTTCTGAGTCGTTGTTTTCTTGCTGAAGGTTATTCCGTACTGCTTGTGACCGTCTCTCAGAAAGTTAAGCCATATATCTGCGAATCGTATTTGCACACGTTAAGTCTGCTGTGATTGCTTGGTGAGTCCCTAAAGGTTAAGCTTTGTTATTGTTCTTCGCATGACCCCGATTCGGGACGTAACATTGACGTAAACTGTTGTCTACAGTTTTCGGTCGGTCGGTCTGTTTTCGACATAGAACTTTGCACATATTTGCGGCAGTTCAAGTCACCACACCATGTAGCACACAAAGTAAGAGAACAAAGTAGGACAAATGCATAATACAGACAGTAAACAGAGGTGTGAGACAAAGGAATAGTAATAACGAAGAGCAAAACAGTTTCATTGGAAATCATAAGTCACAAAGAGTGGATACATCTGCGCCACTGAGAACGATTTTCAGCCATATCACTAATTGTTTCCAACCATTGGTGTTTACCGTCCCGAGGACCCCAACCAGGAAGTCTACACCTTCCTACGTGGCCTACACTAACTGTTGTAGATTTCATTGACTGGTGCAATGTTTTCGTTTGACCGCCGCTAGCTCTTTTCCAGCCTGACCCTATATCAGCTAACATTGCCCGTCGAGGAAGGCGATGACTAGGCATACGTAGCACATGTGTTAACCATCTCAGTCGATGTAATTTCACAGACTCGTCGACTGACTTCCCCTCCTTACCTAGCACTTGACCGATACCTAACCTCAATATTGCTCACCTTATTATACCACTTCCTGCGGGAGATAGAACGCAGACACCTATGATCGAAGACAGCTAATCTTTTCATGTCTTCCGCTCTCAATGGCCAGGTCTCACAGTTTTGGCTTTCAACTAACTATCACCACAATAGTAATGACAGTAAGTAGTCCTTGAACTGCCAGACTAGATCATATAAACGCATAGGCCACTAAGAATGAATTATTGCCCATTACATTACAAATTATTATGCAAAAGAATTCATTTTTGGAAAAGTATCAACTTTAGAATGAAATAATTAGCGAAAAAATATCTTTCTGCCAGCCGACAAAAACTGTTACACAATATTCAGCATACCACCCCCTACCTTAGAATAAGCAGTTGTTCGAAAAAACCATTGACGTAAAGGTCGACGTTCCACCTTAGCACCAGAACGCCAAGATCGCCCTTGACTATCAATCAATTCATCAGCGAGTACAGTTTTATCAATTGGATCCCAATTCACATAAGCTGATCTGTGATATGCTAAACCTGATTGAAATAATTTAAGAAATATCCATTGAGTCCATTTGTAATAATTTGGATCACAAGTGCTCAGCTCTCTTGACCAATCAACAGTTAGCGACATTGTCTCATTCATTTGTTGTTTCATAGAAAGTATATTCCTACAATGAAAGTCAATTACATAACAACATAATACACGAATATAATTAAGTAAGACCATTTAAGCATTTCCAACAGGTTACAGGCCTTTATGAACAACTGCCTTCTCTGGCTCCCCACCATAGATCAAATGCCTGGCTAGAAAGAATTAGGAACAAGTGACTCTGATGCTTATTATCACCAATGATATTCCTAATTGTGGTGGACTGGATTATGCGTCAGACAGTGGGAAACGAGAAGACAGGGATATCCTGGACCGACGTGAGGAACCTAGAAGACCTGGATTTCGCACGTGGATGATTTATCTTTGATGTCACACAAAATCGAAGACTTGCAAGCGAAAACCGACAAACTGGTCGAAGAAGCAGCAAAGACAGGACTCCTGGTGAACATAGACAAGACGGAGGTTATGAAAATAACCAACCAACCAACAACAACAACAGCAACATCCAGCGCCAATCACCATCAACATGAGGGATTTGAAAGAGGTTACTTCATTCACTTATCTAACGAGCATTCATTGTCTCAACTACAGGCACATGGAACGGACGAGGATGTCAAATCGAGAATCGGGAAGGCGAGAAACACTTTCATCAACCTGAAACCAATCTGGAAATCTTCGTCACTCAGCATCAACAACAAAATTCGGATTTTCAATGCAAACATCAAGTCAGTTTTGCTATACGGATCAGAAACTTGGCGGGTCACAAAGAGTATTTCCAACAGCCTGTTGCAGACCTTTATCAACAACTGTCTTCGCTATATACTGAAGATCAGATGGCCTGAAAGAGTCACCAACGAGAAACTATGGGAACAAACAAAACAAGAACCAATCGCGCAACAAATATGCAGGAGAAAGTGGAGATGGATTGGACACTCGCTGAGGAGGTCGCTGGGTGACATCGCGCGTCAGGCCAACGCTCGAGTGGAACCCGAAAGGGAAGCGGCGACATGGAGGAGATCGTGTGAAGAGGAGTTGAAACAGTATGGACTAACATGGATGCAGGTGAAAAGTAAAGCAGAAGACAGAAGCAAGTGGAGACGTGCAGTTGAAGCCCTGTGTTCCACTAGGAATCCAAGAGAACAATAATAATAATAAGACCATTTAAGCATTCCCAACAGGTTACAGACTTCAATGGACAACTGCCTTCTCTATCTCCCCACCAAAGAGCAAATGCCTAGCCAGAAAGAATCAGGAACAAGCAACTCTGAGAACAAACCAATCAAAAAAATAGAGATGGAATGGACATTCGCTGAAGAGAGCATTAGGCGACATCGCGCACCAGGCCACCGCTTGAGTAGAACCTGGCAAGAGACACCAAAGTCAGATGACCTTGAACCTGCCAGTTAGGTCACTCAGCACTACAAACGGATGCTTTTCTTCATAATCTTCGTTGCAAGTTTCACCCAGATTTGATTTTTGACTTCTGTGTGGAAAATGGGCTGATAGGGAGGACTAAAACATGCATGTGCGTTGGAGGGACAATGACTCGGCAAAAGTATTGCCGGGCTACTGATACCGGTTATACATTCAGATGCAATCATTGTTATTTCGGGAAGTCTGTAAGAGTTGGTAAGTTGTACATTATGGTGATTTTTTAGATACTTTCTTATCGAAATCAAAGCTCTCCCTTAGTCATAACTGGCTACTGAAACGACCAGTATCTGCAACAGCTGCAGAAACAGAAAATACTAAAATGTCAGCAGTGCAGTAGTATCAGTACCGTCGTGATTTTGCGTCACAAAAGATCAATGGAGTTACTTCTGTACTTGGAGGAGTCGTTGTCGTCGTTCATATTGACGAAATAGTACATACTAAACGAAAAATGAACCGCGGTAGGAGTAGAGCAAATTGTGCTTGGGACTGTACGACACAAATCTTCGAAAAAGGTTTGTAGACCGCAGCCCGAACAGAAATGCTGGCATTTTAATACCAATTATACAACGAACACTTCTCCCAGGCACTATCATTCACACAAATGAGTGGAGAGGTTATTCGCAATTATAATCACTACGCTATATTCATCATAAAGTCAACCATTCTTCTGAATTGATGGATCCTGTAAGTGGAACCTATACCAATCCTATTGAAGGATGCTAGGCTCACCTGAAAAAAACGTATTAGAATGCTAAGTGGTTCCCGAAATGATAAGGTATGTAGCCCCTTAGGTGAGTTTTCTTATCGACATTGGTTTGATATGTCTATAACCACTCCTATGAGAAAATGGGACTAATTTTTGCAGCACATCAGTAAATAAACAATTTCCTCCATCCATTCTTATATACCTTCAAGTCTTACTTTTATTATTTCTATTATATTTATGGTCCTGTTGATTCTTTGTTTTCGCTTTCATAACTGCAAACACCAACTTATCTCTATGACTGCTGTATTCTCTGTTTTTCCCCTCACCATATCATGCAGAGAGAACATTATATTCAATATTTTTTTAATCATGCTAAGATTTCTATACCGCATCGACAATACTGTGTGAAACAAGCCCACGGCAATTTTCGCTTGTATTATTATGATTATTATTTCCATTTTATATGCTGCACGTTTTTGAAATTACCCCTATTAAAAGTGTGGAAAATTTTCTGTGTGACTAATTTTTATTTATAATTTGAGGAAATTAGATGCAATATTGTGATTAATGCTGAAAATTCCATTCTGTATCACAAGTACTGTTTTTGGAATAAAGTAAATCATTATTATTATTACCATATGCCCAGTACAATTTATTTATTTTTATTACATATATATTATAAATACACTATTTTATAAATTGAATGCCACTTTTCACCTAGGCGAATCTGATTGGTTATTTCAAGGTCGTCAGAAGTGGGTGTCTATTCTTTACTGTTGCCTGGAACCCGAATGGGAAACGACGAGTTGGATGCGGATCTATGGGTAACACGGAGGAGATCGTGTGAGGAGGAAATAAGAGACTACGGGCAACCATGAAACCCATTAAAGAAAACTACAGAGAATGAGACAAAGTGGAGACGTGCTGTTGAAGCCTTATGTTCCACTCGGCACCCAAGGGAACAATAATAATATAGAAATAATAATTTACGCTTCCCCAACAGATTTTTTGCAACTTATGTAACGCGTACACTTAACACAATACTGCCTAGGGTGAAGAAGGTGAAGTGACAGCTGAACCTAAAACCAATTGACTCGAAGAAGTCGTGCGCTTTATAGACAACGAAATACATCTTCACATGATGTTTACTTAAAACTAGATACAATACCACTCCAACACCACCGATACTGGATCTTCAAAAGCTTGAAGCCTTGAAAGTTCCACTATGAACCGAAGAAATGAATGGATACGAAGAGTAGATAGTTTATGAGAAGTGCGATCAAAATAGTAATAATAAATACCTAAAGTTGAAATTTATTTTGTCTCACAGAAGACACCGCAACTAGGAGGTTTCAGTTTATCTGTGTCTCCATAGACAATCCGCGATTAAGCTACAGAACTACAGGATGATGCTACAGGACTGGACTACATCGACTGAATCCTACCTTAGAAATAGGGAATGAAGGGGCAGAGCACGTTGACCGCTTCACTTATTTGGGAAGTTGCATCAGCCAACGCCAGCGTGTTGATCGCTGACGAAATCTCAGCACGGATACAGAGGGATAGTTTCGCATATGCCAGCTTACGCTGTCTGTGGTTTAGTAGACGTGATATCCGGCGATCGACCAAATGGCGGGTGTACTGCTCAGCAGTCCGCTCCGTCCTCCTTTGTGGCTATGAGACCTGGCCATTGAAAGTGGAAGACATGAAAAGGCTGGCTACCTGTCTTCTTGACCATAGGTGCCTGCTTTCTATCTCCCGTGTTAAGTGGTATAATAGGGTAAGCAATATTGAGGTTAGGCATCTAGTGCTAGGTAATGAGGAGAAATCAATCGATGAGGCTGTGAAGCTACATCGACTGAGATGGTTAGGACATGTGTTACGTATGCCTAACCATCGCCTTCCTCGACGGGCAATGTTAGCTGACATAGGATCAGGTTGGGAAAGTCAGAGGTGGTTAAACCAAAACATGGCTTCATCAGTCAATGAAATCCACAACAGTTAGTTTAAGCCAGCCACGTAGGGAGGTGTAGACTTACTGACTAGTTGGGGTCCTCGGGACGGTAAAAGAAATGGCTGGAGACAAGTGGTGATATGGCTCAAAATCGTTCTCAATGACAGCGCAGATGCATCCACTCTTTGTGACTTATAATTTCCAATAAAACTATATTGTTCTTCGATATTACTATTCGTTTCGCCTCATATTTCTGCTTACTGTCTCTATTTTGCGTTTCTTTTTACTTTCTTCTCTGGCTTTTTATGCTGAGTAAAGTGTGGCGACTCGAACTGCTGCACACCGGTGCAAAGTTCTATGTTGAAACCAGACAGACAAAGACAGAAAACACCGCAACTAGGAGGTTTAAGTTTATCTGTGTGTCCATAAACAATCAGCGATTAGCCTAAAACTCTTTCGGTAAACACGTAAGTACCTATACTTCAAAGATTTTAACTTTATGTTACCAATCTTTGTCTTGACCGTAATGACAAGTCAGTAAGCTTGATCTAGTCACCCTTCCTCAATCCTACTACATACGTATTTTCAATCCAAGGAAATGTACTGGAAGCTAGTAAACCCTCATTGTCTGAGATGTCTAGTCAACGCTTACTTTAGTGTGCTATACTAGTAGAAGTATGACTATGGCGAAAGTGAAGCATAATAGGCCTAACATGTCGTACTAATATATGAAAGTCACTAACTGTTCGCATCGTGCGTCGGTGCCACAGTGGTAGAATGCTCACCAACCACGCAGATGGTTCGGGGTTCGATCCCCGGGTAACGCACTCCTTCACCTCTCCAAGCCAGTAGTAAGATTGGTAAAGAGGGAAGTTCGGGCATGAGGCTAGCAACCCCATCCTGTAAAAATAAACACCACTGCTACAGAAAACTCGAGCCTCTAGCTTGAAGCACTATGTTCCACAGGGAACGTAAAGGAAAAAAAGCTGTTCGCATGAGGCATACAGACTACGGTCTATGTAGTGAGAAAAAAAATGATGTGCAAATATGAAGTGTGGTAACTTGAAACATTATGCAGAAATCCCTAGCCCAATTTTGACGTTTTTCTCTTTATAATAATAACATTGGTGGTTTTATTCCAAACAATACTTTTCATACACCGTGGGATTCTCAGCATATGGTGACTGACTGACTAGTTTCAACAGAGGACTTTGCACTGATGTGCACCAGTTCGAGTTGCCACTTTCCCTCCATGTAGCACACAAAGCAAGAGAAAACAGTAAAGAAGGATTCAAAAGTTAGAGAGATAATAAACGTAAGTGTAAGTGAGAGGAAAAGAATAGTGGTAGTATCGAAGAACAATAGAGTTCTATTGGATATGACAAATCACAAAGTGTGGACGCATCTGAGTCAATGAGAAAGATTTTCAGCCATACCACTGATTGTCCCCAGCTATTGATTTTTACCGTCCCGGTCAGGTAGTGTATGCCTCCTCACGTGGCTGACAGGCTTAGACTAACTGTGATGGATTTCATTGACTAGTGAAGTAATCTTTTGGTTTGACCACTACTAGCTCTTTTCCAATCTGACCAATCCTATGTCAGCTAACATCGCCCGTCGAGGAAGGCGATCAATGGCTTGGCATGTATGCGTAACATATGTCCTAACCGTCTCAATCGATGTAGCTTTACAGCCTGACCTATTCACTCTCCCTCCTTATCTAACACTCGATGCCTAACCTCCACATCTCATCCTACAATACCAACTAACACGGGAGATAGATTGCGGACACCTCTGAACAAAGACAGCTGGCTTTTTCATATCTTCTACTTTCAATGGCCATGTCTCATTCACAGCCATAAAGGAGGACAGAGTGGACTGCTGAGCAGTAAACACGTCCTTTGATCGACATCACGTATACGCCAGAGATGACGTGAGTTGGCAAATGCCAAACCAGCCTTCTGTATCGGTGGGAGATTTCGTCAGCGATCAACCCTCTGGTGTTGGCTGATGCAACTTCCCAAAGAAGTGGAGTGGTCAACACGCTCAGCCACCACTTCACCCCGTATCTTTAAGCTAGGAGTCAATGTAGTCCAGTCCTGTAGCATCATCTTACATGTGACAGAGGGAACGAATTGCATGCCAAACATTAAAAGACTGCTCCGCAAGGTGTTCAGAACACTCTGCTCTACTTTGTCAGCGTCCTCACCTAGGAGGGAGGACTATATTATCTGCATATTCTAAGTCAACGAGACTACTGTTTCCTGGTAACAAGTCAATCCCTGAGTCGCTGAAGTCAGCAGTTAGGGTTAAGTCCATTAGTACATCAATGATGAAATTAAATAAAAATGGGGATAGTGTAGGGCATCCACTGAAGGACACCACTGGTTGTCACCACTTCAGATGACAACTCTCCATAGGCTCTCACATCGCTGCATGAGTTCAAGTAGGGTGTCTCGATCAGTGCGATGCATTTGCATGCGATGCAATATCGTATCTAATGATCACTTCCCATCAAACAGAAATGAGGAAAATAATTAAAGGACATTATATTTGTCCTAATAATATTGACAATTAGACATTAATACAAAAATAATGGATAAATAGGAATAGTGAGAATAGTAGATTAATGAGAGGAAGAATGAAAAGAGTCGTTTATTTACTGTCTCGCAGTAGGTAATTTTATGCCTAATGCCTTTTCCCCACATGTAACAGACATGCCGAATAAGATATCGTTGAGTAGTTGTCAGCTTTTCATGTTTAGCCTTTGTCGATTCTTTCATAAATTTTGATTTTATTTTTACTTAGAATTTATTCATTTCCCACCGCCTGTTTATGACCAATATGTACATCGATATGTAGTACAACAGCTACTACGTTTATAACTTTAACGTTCACAAACTGTATGTACCGCTGATAAGTAAAACCAGTCAAAATATATCTTCTTAACAATCTTTGTCTTTAAATTTAATAGTTAAAATATCAAAATGCGTTAAAATTTAAGCAGGACTGTGACTGTATGGAACCTACTGTACCTTCATCACTAATTTGAACCTCCTTTCAACTCTAATCACTTACATGTAATGTCTATTTCATAGGATAGAATAAAGGGAAGATATCAGCGATACAATCATGTTTCTAAGTAGATTCAGGAACAGCTACTGACATACGCATTTCTACAACAACAAAAACAGTCCTCAACAAGATAAGTGCACAAATCAGAGCTCTACGCAAACGTTTGTTTAGACAATTATACTAATACGAAAGAAAATTGATTTGGAGAATATAGTTGATCCATTTTCCATCACAACATTATGTTAATCACAACAATCAGGACAGGCTTTGTAGTGAAACATTCTCATTTCATAACTTTTGGTGTCCTATGCACTATTGGTAAATCTTTATTTCATTTGTTCCAAATTTGATCACAGGTTGATATCAGTTAGAGAATCCTTGAAAACCAGCATGGAGTACTGGAAAGCCGTTTCATCCCAATTTGGGACTCATCGGCAGTATGCTCTCACCTCTAGAGTTCCAACCAAGGACCTTCCGGTTATAAGGCAAGTTCGTAGACCATTCAACCACTGGGATACGATTTAATGGCCAGTCTATGAATTCTAACTTCTACCAATTCGTGCCATCGGCGAGGATTTGTCTTCACTCCCAACCTGGTTGACTTCACCGGTCACAACCCTTGAAAACTTTGTTTCACTACTGCCTCACCACAGTCACGTTTTTTCCATCTTACTGCGGGTCGATTTCTTTTCTTAAGTTTTCGTATACTGGTTTTAGGTGTGATAACCTCAACTGATGCCATTTTCTGAAAAGCTTTAGATTAGCCTGTTTACTTATGTGTTTATCTTACTATTAATGTTATTGAGTCTTTCCGTTTGAAAAAGAACACACCTTTGTTATTTTAAAGAAGTCAGAATCAATTAATTTCGCACTACAAATTCTAAAAAATGAAAGAAACCAGTCGCCAGAAAGATTTGATGTATCCTCACACCTGAAAGCCGTATACTTTCAACCATAAGGGAATTCAGATCCTAAATGCGATCTGCTAAGATGAATTCATACATATTTTACTTATTAAGCAAAGTAATGAATAATAATAATAATTTTTGCTTTATTCCAAAAACAGTATTAATGATACAGCAAGGAATTTTCAGCATTCAGTACAATATTGCATCTAATTTACTGAAAAACGACAACAACAAAAAATAAATAAACGAAATAATTAATACATAATAATGATAACAAAACGTTTTTATACCAGCTATGTAGCAATTACAGTATACGATAAGGAGAAAAATACGCATAAAGTATAAAATTATAGTAATAATAGTAATAACAACTAAAATAAAAATAGCAAAGTTATAACTAAACGATAGGAAGGGTGACACCATAGAATTACAGAAAGATGAACAATGAAAGGGTCGATTCACTATGCTAATTACATAGTAACTTATATGTTTCACGTCTAACAGAGTCTTCATCACATAAAATACGGGCTAAATACGGTATTGCAGAATTTTTGTACTTAGTGGTACGAGCATATAATTTCTTATATTGACTTCTCGTTCTACCTGATGAGATACAAGGGGATAGTTGTGAATAAAGAGGGTGCAGAGGGTCTGACAGTACGGCCTTTGCCCAATTTGTACAGGAATTTACGTGTCTCTCGACTACAGTATTGGCGAGCTCACGCAGTGGCAAACCACAAGCCCTACTCACAGCATTTAATACCCTTTGTAGTATGACATAGTCTTTTTTAAGAAGCCCAGGAAAGATTAATGGAGAACAATAGAGTACAATAGGTAAAATACAGGAGTTTAAAAATTGCAGAACTAAAGGTTGGTTGATACCTTGTTGTCTTAACTTTTTAATGTAGAAGGTAAGACGAAACATTTTCTTAGAGACCAATGAAATGTGGGATGACCATGAAAGGTCAGAGGAAAGAACTAATCCAAGGTATTTAATGCTTGACTTGGTTTCAATTTCTGTGCCATCTATGCTACAGGCATCATGGGAACTAACTAGTTCATGTATGTCACGTCGATGCTTGAAGGTAAAGTTAACTGCTTGACATTTGGAAGGATTTAACATAAGACCATTTGACTTAGACCACTTACTGATGTCCAACAGAGAGCTATTAAGTTTGGAGCAGTCAGACTCGGAAGTGATAGGCAGTGATACAGTCAGATCATCAGCATATTTGACAAAATTAGTTTCGTTTAAATGTGGCAGGTCGTGTAGGAACAAAGAAAAAAGAAAAGGAGAGAGGACAGCACCTTGAGGAACACCGGCTTTTGTAAGCAAAGCAGAAGAAGATTTGCCATTATATGCAGTATACTGCATTCTACCAGAAAAATAAGAATGCAACCAACTCTTAGCCCAGGATGCTGTGTGCGTCAAGGGGAACAATGGAAATGTTGAATAATCAGTGACATTGTGGAATTATACCACGTTTTCACCCAGTAGTACACTTACGAAGTAAACAATCTCCACAGAGATATGTACCATTACAGTTAACATATGTGACAGCCTGGTATTCTAAATTCTGTCAACTGTAGACCAAGGGTAGAAATCCCATACAAGCACTACTCAGTAATATCAATTCGTGAGATATCTCAAAATAAACTACAAAACAACCATTTATGTTCGGATGAATCATCCTGATTGAGGCTAATTTCCTGGTGATATTCTTTACAGTGGAAGACGTGACCGCAAGAACCGATGTTATAGCAAACTAAACACCACAAAAAGTAGGGTATATTTCATAAACTGGTTAGCTAATCGGCTTTGGCATTAGGTACAGGCACTACTAAAACTATTTAGTAAGTTCGTGACAAAGTGGAGGAATAAAAAAAGTATGGAAAATGCATTCATAAATAATTATTTATGAAGCTATCTAGAGTGATCTCCAGTTTTCAAACGGACATAAAAGGTAAACTTACTTGTTAGTCCAGTCGAGAGGAAACTCATTTCTGTCAATAGCAGCATTTTCAGCAGGTAGACCAAAAGAATCCCAACCCATAGGATATATTGTTGCTTCCCCGCACATCATTTTGTAACGAGCCAGCACATCAGAGACAGTGTAAACGCGCAAGTGCCCCATATGCAAACTACCCGAAGGATAAGGAAACATCGACAGCACAAAAGACTGTCTGCATTTTAATGCGTTCCTCTGCACATAAAGTTAACGGAATAACTTCACTCACATTTCCGATATCTGCATCTATTTTTCTTATAATGGGAAGCCATTTCTTCTCCACTGCCTGTAAATCGTTTAGTCCACAGTACTGAAAGCATCACATTATGAGTAATTATAAAGAAGTACCGAATGTTGGTTACGACTTATGTAGCATCTGTACAACCTAAACATATGATTACGAGCTTTGAATATAACACAGTCCTCAAGGTCGACATTAAGACGAACATCCAATCAAATTTGCTATCTGAGGATAGAGGGCTTGAAACCTGTGTTAATCCTTTTCTAATCAGCTCCAGTGTTTATCTTAACCCTTCTTTGAAGAATCAGTTTATGGTCAGAATCAACTCGAAACTCTCCTCCTGGAGAGCAGTACGCAGCGGAGTGCCACAAGGCACGGTACTTGGACCTCTCCTATTTATTTTGTATATCAATGAATTATTTCTCCTCACCTATTCCCCTATGGTCCTATGTGCAGATGACTTTAAAATCTGGAGAAAGCTGAAGGGCGACAGCGTTGCTCTCACGTTTCAAGAAGACCTCAACAAATTGTCAGAGTGGTCCAGAGAATGGTTGCTCCATGTCAATGTAGCGAAATGTGCGACACGGAAGTATCAGCTCCTACGAACTAGAGGGAATAACACTCCCATCACTTCGGACTCATTTAGATTTAGGTGTCATAGTTAGCCACGATTTAAAAACTACAGTACACCGTCGCGCGGTAGCTGCACGCAGTTCTAGATCCTTATGGGTAATTCGCAGAGCCTTAACTAGAATCACCAGAGACATATCCACCTCCTTATATACATCTCTGATGAGGTCAAGACTGAATAATGTATCCAGGCAGCCAGTCCTTGTCTTAAAGGGGACTCACACATTCTAGAAATGGTTCAAAGGAAGGCAACATGTATGGTTCTTGGCATGACTAACTTATCATACCGGGAAAGTCTAGACAGTTTAAATCTCTTCTCCCTATCATACCTCAGGCAGAGAAGTGATTTAATCACAGTGTCTGAAATTTTAAATAATGACCAAGGACCTGATTTATTCTCTCCTTTCCTTCCCACCAGGTTGGAACACCTTAGAGAACATGGCAGAAGAGTTCAAAAGCCAAGAAGAAATCATGTTGCTGTTGAGTACTGATTGTCACACCGAGTCATAAACTCTTGGACACGACTCTCAGAAGAAGTGGTATCTGCAACCTCAACTGATTCACTTAAGAAGAGTTTAGACAAGCACAGAAATTTACTAGAAAATGATTAACATAGGCTCTAAGCCTTCTATCCCAAATTAATAAATCTGGATCTCACAACACTTCTTCTGGGAAGAGATTCCAATTATTTATAATAGTGTGAGAATCACTACTCCACAGAGAAATAGTTCTCCTTTGGCTTTTCAACACCGCATTCATGTCCTCTGGGATTACCAACCTGGTGAGAGGGAAAAGAGTATATATATAACGTCTAAAGTCACTTATTAGAATTATGAACCTCGATCAAGCATGATACTATCTGACATTAAATCATACTTGATCGTTCCCGTAAAAATGGCATGCATTTTCATGTAAATATGTTTATATGAAAATATACATTATTATTATTATTATAACTATAACTCCTTGCTACCTACGACGTGGTAAGTGGTAGGGATTCAAACTGTCGAAATTTTTCTCATATGATAAATTGATTATGCCAGGAATCACACATTTAGCCTTCATCTGAACCCTTTCTAGAATTTATGAGCTCCTGATAAGACAAGTCTGGCTGTCTGGATTCAGTTTTAAAGTTTCGACCTCACCAGAGATATGTATAAGGGAAGGAGCATATCTCCTGTGATTCTAGTAAGTGTCCTGAGCATTGCTCACAATGATCTAAAACTTTGAGCTGTCGCCGTGCAAAGTGTGCTCAGGTTTTAGGCTATAACTTACTACGACACATAGATCCACGTGAGTCTGAACTGATGACAGCGTTAGCCTCTCTAGTTCATATGAGTTGACGGTTGTGTGTCCAACGCACACCTCGCTAAGTTGATTAGGAGCATGCATTCTTTGAACTAACTTAACAATCTGTTAAAATCTCCTTGCAGCATGAGGATGTATCCATAACCCCTCAGCCTTCTCCAAACTTTTGTCATATGCATTGGTTTTTCGATGAGCCCAGGTAATCAGTCGACATACACAGTGAATTGCAGGGGGCCTAGTACATTGCCTCGCGGTCCATAAAGAAAGTTTTGAGTTGATCCCGGCTCTTTGTCCCCAACGTGTGGGGAATACCCCCAATCCAGTTTAGAAAGCCATCCTTGGTTCCAGGACTTCCCAATTTCATTAGCAGTCTTAAGTGAGCTACATTGTTAAAAGCTTACTTAAGTTTATGAAAATGACGTCAATGAGTTTCCTCTCGCCCCTCGACTTAGCTTTCTCTCACTGTGAGAAACCGTGCTGTTTATTAAGAAACAGGAGGTATTTTCCAGATATGACATGATGGCTGTTTTCAAATGATTCTTTAAAGTACTCTGATTAAGGTATCAGTGATACTAAGAGGTCAGCTGTCTGAAGGACAGTGTGTTTATCTTCACTCGTGGATGGGGATTACTATGGTGTCCCGCCAACTGCAGGATGAAAATCCATTCAAGAGGAATAGCCTTCAGAATGTAGTGAATTGCCCGGCTTTGAGCACTGCTAGCCCCTTGAGAAGCCTTGCGTGAAGGTTATCTGGCCCCACTAATTTCCCTACGCCTAGTTTATTTAGGGGTCGGTATACAATGTACTAGTGGAAGTTAACGAAATCTACCTTGTTCCCTCCTGATGCAGCCAGACTTAATGTTATGGGAGTGACGACTCCTGTGTGCAGGCCTCTGAGAAATAGCCTGCCATAGCATTAGGCTTTTCCTGGTCCATTTCTACTGAGACGTTGTCTGTGGTCAGATTTGGGACTCTACTGGATGCCTTCTTCTTAAGATTCATGCACAAGAACATTTTCTTAGGTTGCACCGCTGATTTCGAAATTCGCCTGCGTATGACGAATTCCCGCAGTAACTCTTTTTCTGGCGACAGTGTACAGCTTTCTAACATTATAAGCCCTGAGTCTGATAAACACATTCCAGCGTTCGTGCTTACGCCTAGGTAGTCTGAGAATTTCCCGCTTTATCCTTGAGTGACAGTGTTTTCGACCGTTTACACCAGACCATGAGATTAGGGTTCGATTACCAGGGCACCATGACACCTAAAGTCAAAACTCAGTGAAAACCAACCAATTAATTAATAATAAATCATATTTCGTGTAAACAGGTAAGCTTAAATGGAATGTATGCTATTTTTACAGCCGCAATCAGATATGTTATAAATTACGATCGCGAAATATAAATTAGCACTTTTCAAAGGTTTTAGCTGCTCATCATAGTACTAGCAATAAGAACAGGTTCGTATAAATGTTAAACTGTAAACGCTTCACTAAGGTCACCGTCAAGGTTGAGCGCCAACCCAAACTTCTTTCCATTTCCTGCTGATAGTTGTGGTCAACCAATGAGCAGCACATATTTTAGTAAATGCTATGCACCCAAGTGATTAAAAGCTATTTGAGGAAGAGGTGAACGTCCCGAGAAACTGCAAAACACTATAAAATGCAATTATGGATAATACATCGTCGGAAGTACATTTACAAGATATATACGCGAAGGGGCTATAGAGTCCTAGGAATGATAGTATACACTTGCTGCCTATAGTGCTGATCATATTGGTCTTACCATGGAAACTTTGACGTTTTAAATGAAAATACAGCCTTGATCAAACACTGGTGTCGTTGTTTTCCAAAATAACAACCAAACTTTAGGTGAAAAGATTTATTTTCCGGTATAAATTTAAAACAAGCAACAAGGGTTAATACAGCAGGATTTGTTTAAGTTAGGTAATTGAACTGTGTTGCATTTTGTTTTAATTTGAATCTCGAATACTCCCCCTTGATCTATCTGATCATGACCCGAAAAATATTCACACCTTACGTTTTGCATGATTGAACTTACGTAGTTTATTCCTTACCAGTGTCATATCTCCCAAAGAAATTCTGGTGCTATATACATCCGTTCCGTGGAGTATTCAGTTGAAGGGTTGCGTCGAAATTTGATGAGTTCATTAGATCTTGCTTTACTAATTTATGTTTCTCGTTTTAGAAACCACTTCTACATAATGGGAAAATAAGAAACTATTACTGTACACAGAAAAAGTTCGTCAAGTGTCACACTCATAAATATTCATGATTTATCAACACAAACTTTTTCAAACTGGTTCTGTAGCGAAATGAGTTTTAGCGTTTCTTCAAATACCTTAACTAGTTTTGCAAGTATTATCTTTTGGTCAAGACCTGTACATCATAACAGTTTGCATGTCCTGTTTTGACTTAATCCTCATTGCATGTCTTTATTTTGGTTTATCCATATTCCTTACGCTTCACTTTGTCTTTGGGCAACGCTGGACTGCTGATATTGATGTCTTTTCTGATTGTAGCAATTATATCTGAGTGCATTCAGGGCGACACCATGGAGCGATTGTTTACTGTTGGACTGCCCGCAACAAACAGGTTTTGTTTTGTTTGATTCTTGCTGGAGATGCTTCGATCCCGTATTCTTTAGAATGTCCCTGTAGATTCTGAAATATCTGGCTCTGATTGGTTAACCACTTCTTTGTACAGCTGATGTTTTGTGGCCATGAAACCTTCTGAATGAATAGCCGCCTGACCGTATTACTGAGGTACTTTTGTAATTTTGACAATAACTTATGACTGTGCAGTAATGCCACAGAGTTCATCACTATAGATCGCGTTTTGATATTGCTGGAATATAAATATCGACCGCACGTAACCAGCCGAAGTTTGGCAGTCACTACAAAGTAATGCAATTCATTCATTCTAATCGAAATATTCAGCCTTTCATAATTGCATCCACCCAATAATAATAGCTTCATTTCAAACATGTAATCCACTACTGCCTTCAATTTTCTCTTTACATGACAAAACACGCGAAGAAATAATTAATAAAACACTTGCATCGATGAGGAACTCATTTTCCAGGGGACCGTACCAAAAATAACCTAATAATTTGTCACCGAATGCTATCGGTAGTGTTTTATAAGGGTCTGTCGGCAATAGATAGTGCTCGGCCATTGAAACAGCACCAGGCATGACCGAAAATCCAAGATACATTAAAGCACCTTTATGAGAGCAACA